TGCTCAATAAGAGGAAATACAATGGTTAGGGAGGAAACTTGAAACATCTAGACTTTAGAGCTGGCAAGAAGCTCTAAAATTATTAGTGCCATTCGCCACTTCATTTTTGTGTGAACTGACATTTTCTACAAAACCAAAAATAGAAATAGACTGGAATTGAAAAATGATTTGATTATTAACGTTTCAAAAATATCACCACAATTTGATAAACTTTTGAAAAATAAACAAACCTATCCTTCTCACTAAAATTGTGTTTTTATTGTAGTGTTAAAACCTTGCCTTTTTCTTTCAGCGGACGACACCCCGACCCCCGAGTAAGGCTTCGCGACCCCCCTAGGGGATTGAGAAACACTGTCTTACAAGGTTCTCATATAATGGATCTATTTGCTCAATTTCAAAAACATCAAAATCGTCGTCTGTTCTTTATGTAACACCGCATATATTAGGATTTCATGACGAAAAGTTTCCTAATTTTCTTCCGAATGATATATGTTGTTTTCACGCCTGAAATTTAAAGTTTTCAAAAAAATAGTGACTCTAATTCAGTGTTTTGATTTTCGATGATTCAAAAAGTTTTTGTTTACTTATGATGCACTATTTGAAACCTTTGGTGTAGTAATGAATATTACTGGAATTTTCTCACAACACCAAACCGTTATTTTAACACCTCGACACGTTTTTCCATCACCAAGTGAGCATCTTCAAGAGGAAGACTAAACTAATCTTCGAAAGGAAGATTCAACTGATTTTCAAGATCAAACTGATCTTCCTCTTGAAGATGATCACTTGGTGATCGAAACACGTGTCGAGGTGTTAAAATAACGGGATAAAACTCCAGTAATATTAAAATTTTGGTTTGTCCAATTAGTAATCATGTTCGTCATAGTGAGAAAATACCAAATTTGCCATAGAAGATGAAATTTTATCCTTTTTTCGAGTTACCCTTCAACATCATTCATCACAATTTTAGCAATTTTAGGACAAGTTAGACAACTAATTCACGAAATCTTTGTAAAATCTTATGTCACTGAAAGTAATACATTTCCTCTTCTGGAATAAATGTGTTTCATGAGCTTGTCATTGACATCTGTTTTTTTGTTGTCAAATTATTGTCATCTTTCAAACACCATTCGCAGTTGAGCTGTTCACAGAAGACCAAACTTGGTTTTAGAAAGTTTAGCCTTCTTGAGTTGTTCACAGGTTTTCCCCTTCTTGTAAGAAATTATTTCAAAATACCAAATTCCAAAATTACATGTAACAAAATGTGTATAGTTTGAATTTTTTTGCAACTCCATCATGTTTTTTCATAATCTCAGTAAATACGGACCTGTATTTTTTGTTGTAGTTTTTGGATCTTAGACGTTCACTTCATACTGAGAAATTAAATTCAATTTTATATTCCGGGATTTTTCGGTAATATTCGATTATAATTGTGTGAATTATTCCCTTTTAAATTACGGCCGTAGAAATTGGTTGACTGGGTTGAATAAAAACACAANACACCTTATCTCTTATCGTTTACGAGATCCACATGTACAGAAACGAATTTGAATAGCCCCGTATATGGGAGGTTCTATTTGAAAATCAAAATTGGTGTTACTTTCGGAAATACTAGACACAAAAAGTATGAATTCAAGTTTGAAAAAGTTCTTGAAAATCTATGTCCTCAATTTTTCAAGTATATGAATATAGTCATTTCCAGAAAATCATTAGACAATGTGTCCAAAAATATCTGTCCATGATTTTAGGAACTGAAAGATTTTCATTAAGTCTCCGAAAGTGCTTTCAAAACAAAGTGTTAATTCTCCAAGTCCGTTGCATTCTTAAGAGCTCAACTTTACGAACCGCCCGTTTAAGCCACCGACGCCTGCTTCGACCTCTTAATATTTCCAGTTTCGCGAAAGCTGAGCATCTATTGAACGCTAAGCCTTCTGAACTGAGACGTATAATTCTTTTAATTTCGCCATAAGTCCTGCAGAGGAGAATCCCGTATGACAATGGAGAGACGACTTGACAATCTTCGCAATCTCCGGGACTCTGCGGATTCTAAATCCCGTCGAACAACTGCGACACTGTGCTCTTTATCCTAAGGATCCCTCTGTTCGAATAATTTTCATTCTGCAGAGGCGGGGCGGTGAGAATTTCCGTCGTCAAATTCAACAATTACTCCCTTTATAGTTATTGCATTTTATTATTGAATTTAAACAATAACTTCTCATCAATTCATGTGTGCGCATGTGTCAATAAGGAACCATAATAATCAGTATTTATAAAAATTAAGCATTTGCTTTCAATTGGAAAAGCAAAAGATAAAACTAAAAGGTTTTGCGTTCATAATTTCTACCTTTTCCTTGCAAGAAAATGCTTTTGATAAATACAAGTATAGAACTTGGTAANTCTCAGTTACATCTGCTTAGTGTTCCGTATTTACACAGAATAATATTCTGTGGTATTTACGAGAGCGAGGAAAAAAAAGTTGATTTTTTTAGTTTAGTTGTCTCATATTAAGCGAAATGGTTTCGTTTCAGGTTTTTTCAAAAAATGATGAACTGCTGGTGAAATTTTCGACCTTTGTTTGTCAGCACAACACTGTCTTCAGGAAAGAGTTCACATCACATTCTAATTGACTTCTCTGACACTATCCATCCTTAAATATTTGCATTTAGAAAAGAAAATTATAAATTACAGTGCTGTTGTAAAAAAACATATTTCATAAGTTTTGTGATGACAAATGTTAACTTGTCATTGAGATGAAATCAAGCATTCATCAAAAATATTTCGTTCCGTTGACTCTGTGATCACGTGGTATCAAATCTGCATCTGCTCACACAGCTCCAGATTTTTAAAACCGAATACACTTATTATATCCCTAGTCTAGTGTTTTTGACAAAATATTGTTCATAAGAAAAAAGGATTCTAGTGATTGCCCCAGGGGTTTCTATGCATGTTGGAGGACCCAATATTCCTTCCTTTATAATAATGTTGTTTGTTGAATGTTGTTTTTATTCGAATACACTAAACTGCTATTCACTTTATTATACAGTTTCGGGCATAATTCTTCTTGAGGTATCGAAAGTAATTTCACGGTTGGTAAATATATCGATGTATTGTCTCTTCAAACCTTGAACATGATATATATTCATAACAATATCGGATAAATATTGAAAATCCCTTTGCGAAAAGCCTAGAGTGCAATGGATCATTAATTCGCATATAGTAATATTTAACAATGTAAAAATGAAACATCTTATATTTGAATATTTATGACTAAGATATCTTGTGGTAATAATAGTTATTTATTATACAAAGGAAAAAAGTATTAGATTTTAGCTCGAGGTTGTGTTGAAAAATTCAATTTCCACCTTTACTTATGTATATATGCTCACTTTTTCATAAAGTGTGACATAAAGTGACATTTGTTACCTGTCATCAGAGATAAAATGTCAAACTTTTTTCCCGTCACAGAAAAACAATTTTTTTCTCAATTTGACATTCATTATAAAACCTATTTTTCCCGAATACCCCTTTCAGTTATTCTCATCCCTCACGCTATCGATTTCTTTGTAATAAACAACGTAGGTAAGTATACAGCAATTTCCAAAATGAAAACAAAGCAAAAATTGAAGTGTAGCTACAAAACAAACATTATTAGTAATATAATAAACGAAAATAGCTTCCAGTCCATTCTGAATTTTCCGGCAGAGGAAATGAGACTTTTAATAAATTTCATATCCTCATTGTGAAGGCTTCAAATATCCTACGCTTATTACAGAATGAGTGATTCAGATTGTATTGTTGTGCAAGTTTCGGAGTTTTTATTGCATTAAAACTCGTTGAATTCGTAAAATTACTGCGAATTCTCTTTGTACGTTTCGGTGGAAGAAGTCTTGACCTAATTTGGAACCCGTTCGAGATGAAATATTATATATTGAGAAATATCCATAGCAGCTTTTGGTGCAATATTGTAGTCTATGCATTTCTTGTGAAATTTTACATTTTTTCACTACTGTACCTACTGAAAAGAATAGAATTTATAGTACTTGTGATTAACTATTTAAAACCTTTGGTATAGTAATGAATATTCCTGGAGTTTCTTCCAGCACCAAACCATTATTTCAACACCTCGACACGTGTTTCGATCACCAAATGATCATCTTCAAGAGGAAAATTCGATTTGTGTCGAAGTGTTAAAATGAAAGATTTCCACTCAACTAGTAGCTTTGATTTATAATTGTTCAAGTCGAGTTTGAACCGCTTTCCCTGAATGGTGATATTCCGTTTACTTCAGAATGAATTTTTGAATGTCCCAGGGGGTAATTCTGGAAACTTTTTTGTTTGTAATATCCACACAGATTTACAGCGACACAAATTCACCATTATAGTATGACATATGAGTTCAAGAATGAAGGCTTATTAAAGGTGGGTTCAACAAAAGCGTTTATTTCGCAATGAATACACATAATACACCAACTATTATAATGTATGTAGTCGTATGTATGTATGTATGAATTCAACTGCCATGATTGCTTCTCCAACGTTTCTTTCTTCCTAATATAGTATTCTATATGAAGTTGACATGGTCCAAAACCTTACACGTTAAAAACCGATTTTGACATTGACGCAAGAAAGTTATTATCTGCAGTTTCTTTGACTGAATCAAAATAGCTAGACAAAAATTATTTGTAAGACAAGTTTTTATAAACGGGTATGCTTGTGCAGGATAAAATATTCGAAGATAGTGAAATATGTAATGAACTTGGGTCTGATCATAGAAAGCAGCTCAAGGTATACTTCACTCAAAAAAGACGTGTTCCTTAATTCTCTCATTGATACAATGGATTCATCTGTTAATCAATTCAATACGTTGGCGAGTTCTATTGGTTGAAACAATTAGTCAGAATTTTCTATCAAATTTAAGAACGTGACGTCATTGGAGGAATACGGAATTTCCCTTACTACGTAGTGCCTATTCCCATAAATATTAAGAAGATTACAATGAAAGAAAAACATAACCTTACAATCTAATGTCTTGAATTTGAGAATTTCAAAGAAAGTTGGAATATACATATAAATTTTAACTTCGTATGAACACTAAAAAATAATTCAATTGTCCAAAATGACAATCAGCAACATGACTCTTGTCAAAATTGGAGCAATCGGAGGAGTTGCGACAGTCACCATGGGCTTATTATTCAAAAACAAACTAAACAATAATGTTAAAGCAACAGACTTCTACAAAAATGCTCTCAAACTTGTGAGAAGCCATCCAGGAGCTGTTAATCTATTAGGTGAGCCTATAAAAGACCTCCGCATCGATGTAGGAAACGAGAAAGATAATTTTACTAAAGGAGACTTTGCTCAATACAAGGTGCCTTTAAAAGGTTCAAAACAAAGGGGCACCTTATATTTTTGGGCTGAACGTGATGTAAATGAAAAATGGCTAGTGAACAGAGTCGAGTTAGAACTTAAAAATATACCTGATAAAAGACTCTTAATTAAAGCGATGAGTGATAGCAGAAGTTGAGTTCCTATGTGTCGATTGTTTAAAATATTTGATACTTCTTGTACCATACCCTTGAAAAATATGAGTGTTGGGATTTGAGTTTATGTATTTTCATGAAGGTGTTCTTTTTGCCAAGTGAGGTTGTTAAAGGCGATTTTACACTATGCAACAAGATGTGTTTCAAAACATTGTTGAAAAACAAGTTGCAAATTCTAATAAAAGAAGTTTCAGAACTTATGTGTTTGAATACATTTTTTGTGTTTTAAAACAAGTTCTGTTTCCATCATATATTGGTGAAGATGAAAAAAATAATCCAACATTTTTCATATTCGGGACACAGGTTGAAATAATTCTATTTTTTGAAAAAAACAACTCGTTGCTAAACCTAATGGTTTTCTTCTTTCAAATCGAGCAAAATTACTTCTCATATTTGAAATTAATAAAATTCCACTTAATGTTGAGTTAGGTCAGTATGGCCAATCGTCAAGGCTGTCAACTCTAGTGTTTCAGTAAACCATCATTGTGTAATGTTTTCTTTATACAGTTGACAAAACTGTATAAAGACATAGTGTCACTATGCATTCTTCAAACAGTTGAGTGAAAATCTCACAATTGAGTGTTTCTTGAATATGTCTGTAACCATCATTGAAATGAAAACCAACTGATGATCAAGAAAACTATGAAGTACCACCAGTACCACTTACTGAAGGCGAATAAAATTTTGTGTGGTCATTCTTTAATAATTGTTTAAACTACCCATTATCTATTCCTATTTTTCTCGCAAATATTTTAGTCATGCTGAAATTCAATTCCACTGTATTTTCTTCTGATCTCTTCTTCCGTTCACAACGTTTCGAAAAACTTATTTCAAAACAAAGTTCATGAAATTTTTTACATAGTCTAAATGCGTCTCCAGGTTTTGTTTTATTGCCATATAAAGTTAGATTTTTGTTGACACTTAATATCTTGGTAATTTAAAATATTATATCAACATAAAAGTAAAATATTAACTCCGAAACTCAATCAAAATATATGATGTTGGGGTCGAATAAATGAAAATAGTATTAGAGCCCCTAGAAATATTGGTTCGCAAAATACACTCGACCAAAAGCAACGATGTTAGCGAAACGTGTCTATAATAAAAAAAATTGTGAAAATTGTTTATGATGGATAAACAACATACCTACTCATTATTATTTGAAGAGAAGAAATATTGAAACAACGTTGTCATAAAGTTATAATTGAAATGATTGCAATTGAAACCAATTTGAGCTACTTAGAGACAGAGGGCACCAGCTTCCGTTACTACAATAAGCGCAAAAAACAAATGAACTGTTCGTTTGTCTCGCTTAAAGCAAAATTTTCGTTTTTAAAGCTCGCCAACCGTCATTCAGGCCAAGACCCTCAGACACTTCCCCAGACGGTGGAAGCATGCGATCGTCGTCATGATCCCAAAACAGGGTCAGAACCCGCGGTTCCCACAGAACTATCGCCCGATTAGTCTGCTCTCGTCGGCGACTAAGCTGGCTGAAAGGGTTGTTCTGCAAAGGCTCAACGAAGAAGTTGAGGATCGAAATGTTCTGCCTAACGAACAATTCGACTTCAGGAGAGAACACTCCACTGAGTTACAGGCTTTGAGACTGGTCGAAAATACCATCGTAGAACTAAATCAAAACAAAAAAGTTCATGAGTTTTGCCAGATATCTCGAAGGCCTTCGACCGAGTATGAAACGAAGGCCTTCTGCATAAACTAATTGCGTTCGACCTGCATCGGGGCCTGATCCGGTGGATTGGGTCTTTCCTGAAAGACAGAACGTTTCAGGTTAGAAGGGAGGGCTCTCTGCCTGAAAACAGAGAGATCCTCGCTGGAGTGCCACAGGGGGCCGTGCTCTCGCTGACGCTGTATTCACTTTACACCAGTGACTTTCCAAAGTCAGAGCGTGTGAAAATATCTCTTTACGCCGATGACACGGCTCTCCTCTCGTCTTCCATGGGTCGGGAGCTAGGTGTCGTCTACATGCAACGTGCATTGGACGACCCCGAGCGCTAGTACCTTGAATGGAAGATTCGAGTGAATCCGGAAAAGACCCAGGCGACAACCATGGGAAGATTGCTATCTTCTCCGGCCAGAAAAGTGAGAATCTCTGGGAGATCGACTGACAAGCGCGGATAAAGTAATAGACCGTAGGCTCACTTGGAACCCGCACATCACTGATCAACAGACGTTCTAAATTAAGCCTTAAAAACAAAATTACGATCTACAAAACGATGTTCAAGCCTGTCATCATGTATGCTTCAGGCGTCTGGGGACAAGCGGCTCCGTCAAATATCTCCATTTTGGAGAGATTGTAAAATAAGCTAATAAGAATGATTGTGAATGCTCCTTGATTCGTACGGAACGAAGCCATCCGCAGAGATTTACAGCTGCCTTCCATTCAGCAGTCCATTCAGTCAAGGAATCGGCAAGTCCTTGATTGTACCGAAAACCATGAAAATCCATTAGTCAGGAAAGCTATGGATTACACTGTAGACGACCCCTCCTGATATAGACCCTGTCGAATGAGGCCATCATGTCCTCCGTTAGAAGATGAACAATATCTTCATCCATTTCGATGCATTCAGCTGAGAATATTTCATGAAATAATCTCTAAAAATATCACTCGATATAAAAATTTTCTCAGAAAATGTTAATTTTTCGAAAACTGCCTTTGTTTTTGAGCATTTAAGCAATACCAATAGAGCGACCAGCAACAGATGCTCATACTTGTCCTGCGAACTCGTAGTTTTATCATGCTATCATGTTCCTATGATACTGCTCAATAGCAAAGTTTTCGTTGAGGTTTTGAGAACTTGAGGTATCAGTTTCGAAAATTGCAGGCAGAGCATGGATTATCTTCTCTTAAATTTGAAATAGAAAATATCATGCTATCATGTTCCTATGATACTGCTCAATAGCAAAGTTTTCGTTGAGGTTTTGAGAACTTGAGGTATCAGTTTCGAAAATTGCAGGCAGAGCATGGATTATCTTCTCTTAAATTTGAAATAGAAAATATCACATTCAGTACGAATACACTAGCTATAAGTTATCAAATTTGATGCCAATTAAAAAAAAAACAATAAAAATTTCGTCGGAGAAAAAAAGTCTGAATAGGGACACCCTAATCACCTGTCGGTATGAAATATACTTTACAACCTATTCTCATACCTACCAAATATACACAAAAAAATCATAAAAGTCGGACAAACCGCTTAGGAGTGGAACCACAAACAAGGTGATACGGAATTTTAATTTAATTTTAATAAATATAGTTATTTTTTCTTTCTTCCTACTCAGTTGGCTGCATTGACTATTGTAAGAAATGATTTGAATTTTTTCTCAATTATTTTTTTGAGTGTAATTACTTAGTTTTAAGGAAAGTTCGTTAATTAACAAGTATATAGAAAATTTTGTCAACTGTCTAGTTTTTGTTCAATAAAATACTTTGTATTAGGTTTATAGTGGAGTGGAAAATGTTTATTCCTGTTCGATAAACATACACACACACATCAAAAATACTTCCAGATTATTTTGATATTCGTATATAAAGGTACTATAGTAATATCAATTTTTTGCAATCCATGGATTTCACTATCTTTTTGTAATAATAATCATCTTTTTCTACTATGTATAAACAGCTTAACCTTTTGATCATTATTTGTAGTAATGGTATGGAAATGTTGATAAAATAATAAACATTCAGTGAGAAATTCCTCGATAAAGTAGAAGCAAGAAATATATATTTTCTTTTCTTTCTTGAACTTGTGATAGTCACTTATATATTATATCTTTATATAGTGAAAAGAAATTGTAGGTTGATTTTTCAAACTCTGTTTGGTACTTTAGTATATCAACTGTGGGTGCTCTTGAAGAATCGTTATGATAATTTATCAATTGATTAAAGTCAATAACATTACTTTTCGCATAAATTATGCATTTGAATATATATTCAAATCTGAGAATATTTCATGAAATAATCTCTAAAAATATCACTCGATATAAAAATTTTCTCAGAAAATGTTAATTTTTCGAAAACTGCCTTTGTTTTTGNTGAATTCATTTGAAGTATCATTAATATTTATTCATTTTCTGTTTTCAGGTTCGAAATGGCAAGAGCTCCAAAGTATGGAAGATACAAAGACATAAAGTATGAAGAATCTGCAAAGAAGCAGGGTTTATCAGTATGTACCAAACACTCGCAGCCTTGCACGAACCGCAGTTGTTCTGATGAAATCATTTTAAGAGACCTTGAAGAAAAGATAAGGTCAGGTATATTCGTGATTATACACTGTCCACTCTATCACCAAGATAATTGCAAAGAATTAGTTGAAATTCCTCAAATCAAGGACCACATCGAGAAGAAACATTCCACTAACATTTTTTACAGTAACAAACTCAATAGAGAAATCGGAATTCATGAATCCACTGTGGATCTCTTGAAGGCCGATACTGAGGATTTCCTAGTTTACATACACGAGGATCACATTTATGTTGGTTGTCTAGGGCCTGTTGGAAATTACAACAAGTATAACGTACAGATATCTTGTAATCTCTTCAGAAACATATCAATCTCTTACAGTGACCAAGATATAGTTGAGTTTGACGAGCGACTCCACTGCTACAACTGCAAAAGGGGAATGTGCACCTTGAAGCATCACTCTGTTTACACGAAGAATTACCGAGGTTGTCTTCCCATTGATAGAAACATATTACTTGAATTCTTCCAAAACGCTCCAAAGATTTTGATAAGTGTAACACTAGTTCACGACTTATCTCGAAGCAAATCAGAAAAGCAACAGAAACTGGTTCGTAACAGTTCAGTTATTTGTCGCTCTTTGCGGTGCACTGTTTGTTCAGAATACACGCTGGGTAAGGTTTACGGTTGTGGATCAGGTCATCTTATTTGTCAACAGTGCAGGAAGAAGATCAAACACTGCCAGAAATGCAAAGTCCAGTTAGGGGATGCGAGGTGTCTGCTGGCAGAAACTTTGTCCAATGACATTCAGCTTGCTTGTCAAACTGCAGGATGTGATTTCTTTGGAAAACTGGAAGAATTGTCTTTTCATGAAAAACACTGCCATCCTTATCCTCATCTTCCTGAAAAATTCAAGGATGAAAAATTTGTGGGAAAATGAGCCTACATTTTCATTAGCAAACTTCTAGATATTTTTGATAAAATCATTTTTCTATGAACAACACTACTGGCGAGAAAAGGACCACCTACATAGAGCCTTATATGGAAATAGTCTACTCTTGTGACTATATTTTTGCTGAAAAAAGTCTTCGTATCGGAATATTTCATTCAAACCACATAATTTAATCTTTTTTGATATTACTATTGCCACCAGTGCTATATTATCAAGTATCACAAAAGTAAACTACCCCTCCAAGTGGGTAGAGTCAACTTTTCTCATTGGTGACAATGAAGATTAATTAAAATATTGCAATGGAAGAATAAAACACCTAGCGATAATGGTTATCGAATTTTCTCATTGTGGCAATAATAACATATCAAGAGGGATGGAATCATAAAATGTGATTCAAATATTCTGATCTGAGAGTATCAGGCGTCAGGAAATTATGAAACAAAAAATCACAGTGATAAAGCCCCCCATATATAAGGGTAGACTGCATTTTTATGTATGGTATCAGTTAAATTCATAAAGTTTTCAAATATAAAAGTGTTATTCATATTATAATATGGTCACAAAATATACTCCTTCGAAAACACCAATCTTTCCTTTTTTTGTGCCAAGAACTTATTAACCATCATGAATCACCTGAGGGTTGAATTATAAACCGATTATACTTTATATGTTACCTTCATCTCAATTATAAGATTAGAATACTTATGACTGGATCATACACCAAACTGTTTGATTTTACCTTATCTTTTACTTTAAGCAAGTTGTCACAATGTAAATCAATGAAAGTGATCATACACTACACTGAAGGTGAATTTATGCACGCTTGATTAGCAAGTAACAAGTAGCAAATATCAAAAATGATTGGCATTTATGCATTCCCAAAAGGAAATCTGTAATTTCGACTAGGGTATATCTATTATTGTGTATATTTTAACACAACAGCATCAATTTCTATTACAGCGATTATAGAAACAAAACACAGCCTATGTTTTGAAGTTTGAAAATTATTAGGTTAAGTTATCCGGTATCCCCGATTTCTGTCATAGGCACAGATTATATATCTGTATTGTCTATAGTAAATCTATAGACGATGATATCTGTGTCCCAGATGTGTTCTCTGTTCTCAAATGAGCCAATCAGCGCAATAAATGCGTACTAGCAAAAACTTGGGTACAATGGGGAATGTTCCTCAATTTGGGTTAATACAGCAAATGCAAGTTTGAACAAAATAAAGTTGATTTTGATTCACGAGTTTTTCAAATTCACTTCGAAAAGTATTGAAATTGATGTTTCGAATGTTGGTTTTTGATTTTTAAAGGGATTTGTTTCTAATTCACATATTGGCAACAGCGTCTATATCAAGTTGCAATAATTTATACGTACCTAGATATTCTACTTCAAATAAGGAAAATTATCTTTGTAAATCAACAATTAAGGCAAAATATAAATTACAGTTCAATACCACCTCCACAAGCCACATAAACAACAGTACCTGCACGTCGTCTTGATTTCAAACAGGTTGGAGCCTGGCTCCCTTACCCTTTAGACTGATATAAACAACAGTTGTTTTGTTATTTATTTATATAGAGGAAGATGGGTTAGGTGCACAAAATGTCATATGTCACAGAATGTCTCGGAACTCGGAACATAAGTAAACAGAACAGCACGCCTCTGAAATATGTCATCTTTGTTTGTCTCATACAGGTAACAGATTCATTGTCCTTTATTAGCTATAACCGATGTTGTCAAATGGTGGAATGGAAACGAATCCCTTTAAATGTTGATTGCATTATTTCATTCCTCTTTTTTAAGTATTTAAATAATTTTTTAAAGAAGAAGGTTGAAATAATAAGTTTAAAATGCGTTGTTTTAGAGCTCTCTTATGAGAACTACTTGATTTTCGTCAGGAGGAACATTCTCCCAAGAAACTTGAAGGGGGAGTTATTAACAAAGTAACATAAATAAGAAATAAAATAAAGGAAGAAGTAAAATAACAACGTATCCGTTTATAAAAGATACCCAAGATTTTTAAAAGTAAATTAATGAAGGAAGTTAGTCAAACAATTTCTATCTGATATACCCTATTATACTTTGGATGAATATTTTAACGATAGCTTTTAACTGACGTATGCATATTTTTTATCCTTACTTATTAAGGAGCCCTTAAGTTGTTACTTTTCATGACTACTGTTTTATAAACTTGACTTTTACTCTTTTACATATACATATCTTTTATATCCTCCATTTTAACATAGTTTATACCCATGCACCATTTATATTTTTATTTTAATTTTAGTTGGTATGTATTGCATTTTTTATGTATGTACTACACAAGCTTTGTCTACAAGATTATGTCTTATGATAATAAAGCATATATTATTATTATTATCATTATAAGGCTTGGAAAAAGATTTTGGGGTTATTTTGGCTGCAATAAATTCAGCAAATGGTCGAACAAGTCAGGTCGTGACATGGTAGTATCTTTGAAAAATTGCTCCCTCTCATTATCTTTCAAAAACTTCACCAATTTCTGGCAACATATTTTGTAGGTACGTGTGGCAGATACTCGACAGAAAAAACAACAACTAATCCATTATCAGGCACCTGAGCAACGTCTTTCATTTGGAAAATTCGTCGCAAGTAAATTATTACTAATATATGAGAAGCTGAAATTAATTTCATTTGGTCGGGACGACAACCGATAGATCTGATTCGGAGTACTTGCTCCTTGTCAGTATCTCGTCTGGTGACATGTATATGACATGCCCCGTCGGGTATCTGCCACACGTACCTACTTGGTTCACATGAGAGACAAGAGGTAATGCCTCTATCTCTCTATGTTGATGGCTTTTGCTTCCATTAAGGCGCATTAATCCATAAGGGGTAAGGTGTCTTTCACGTGAATATGTTTAATCGAAGATTATTACGGGCAGGGTACCTATGAGGGGTTGTTTTCCAGGTTTCATTCAATGTCCTGTGTTTTTGATTCTCACAAGGTTTCACGATGTTTCGACAAAGTCTCATTTGCCATTCTCTGGTGATGTCTGGACTCTGGCTCCAGGTATTTTGTTTTATTTTGCATGAACTGCAGCAAGAAAATACAGTGTTAACTAACCAGCTGTCACAGAGTCTACATGAGACATAGTTTAAGACGATATGATTTATTTAGGTTTCATCTTCGAAAATACACCTGTAGCCACAGATATTTAATCTGTGCTATAGCTAGAACATCGGCTACAACTGATACAGGTCCTACTCTAATGCTGAAAAAAGGATTAGAAAACAGTTTTAAAAAGAAAAAGAAATATTCATAGCCAAACAAAAGAAGGATTATAAGAAAATTTTTAAGGAAGATATGGAAGAATCCAACCATAAAATTAGTCTAGGTTACGTCGTTCCCATGCTAATGAGCTGGCCAAATGTTCTCTGACGATCAAAGGTCAAAATCTTAGTAGAAGAACTAAAAAATAATGAAGGAAGAAGTAGTTTTCATAAAGCACGTATGTGTTCTTTGTTAGTTTTGACATAACCCCATTTCTTTTCAACTTGCTGATAAGTGAAAAGTACTTTGAAAATGGACCCGACAACAATGATAGAAGAGACCGTCAAATCGATGAAATGCCATTTCTGCAAACAGTTGTTATCCTTTCCTCCAATTTTCATCAATTGCCAAGAAGGATCAAAAAATAAATGTGGTAGATGCATATCCGTCAAGAACGGAGAATGGGTGAGAAACCAAGTTTTCGAAAGCGTGGCAGAGTGTCTGATGTATCCCTGCATGTACTGCGGGGAAATCGTTCCCTGGGCACAAGTTGAACAACACGAAACAAACTGCGAACACAAAACTATCCTGTGTCCATTCACATATACCGGTTGCGCGGAAGACGTCGAAATTCCCGACATAGAGGCCCACGTTAGAGATCAACATCCCAGGAAACTTTTCCGTGATAAAATTACCTACGAAATCAATATTAGGAAACAAACAACACCGCTGTTGCTGATTGTGGAAGATAGCCAGTTCATTGTGTATATATTGCGTGATTCGATCTTTGTTGGACATTTGGGACCGATTAGAGAGTACAGTTTTTTCAACGTCGATTTCAGTTCCGAGAATGGCAACAGATGTGTTTCATACAAAAATAAAGACATTGTTGAGTTCAACGAGAGACTTCATTGCTACGAATGCATCAAAGAAAGGTGCGAGGCTGATCATCATCCCTTTTCAAAAAAGTACACGAAACCTCCTGTGCATCCCGGCGCCAGCCCATTCAGTCTGGCCAGTATGATGGAGCTGTTGAACAATCCCACCCAAATCAAAGTTACAATCAGCGTCGTGCCAAATCAGGATGTAAAGCAGGATCATAGAAAAGAGCTGAGCTTCAAGGACTTTGGTATTTCCATTCGGAGGCACATAGAGTGTCCCATTTGTATGGAATACCTTTTTGGTCCGATATTCTCCTGTAAAAAAGGTCACGGAATTTGCAGAAAGTGCAAAGCTAAGATCAACCTGTGCCCTTCTTGTAAATCAGAGTATGAGGGCTCCAGATGTTTTCAGCTCGAAGATTTGATTGAAAATATCAAAATATCCTGCCCGAACAAGGGCTGGGGATGTAATATTGTAGGAAACTTACAGGGAATTTTATGTCACAAGACTGCATGTGAGTTTAAGTGCACGTCTCTGCCTCAAGTATAGCCAATTTGAGTTAAGGCATTCAAATGATTCTGACAACAGTATTTTTAGTTAAGGAAATCATAGTTTCAGGATTCCCATTTCTGTGCCTCCACTACAATGACAGTTTTTTTGCAATCATTGGAGGTGAAAATCAGTAAAAAACATGATTAAAGAAGTATTCTAATCTTCTTTGTTTTTGGTCAATCTAATCAAATATTCTATCAAGACGTCAGTAGTTTTCCAGGCATTTACAAAGATATTATCTTGAAGAGATTAATCCATACCAATATTTATAACAACCCATCAGTTGTATTGACCTCATTATGTAAATCAAAAGCTGATAAATGACTGAAAAAAAACTATTAATAATTGAATATTTTGTATACTCTGTATATATACTATTTTTGTGAGTTTGTGTTTATATGCAGCAGTTTGTATTTTATATTATTTGTTTTCATGTTAATGTTATTTTATCTGTATTCAGCTACTAAGCTTTGTCAACAAAATTTTATCTTGAAACCATTATTTATATTAAATAAATAAAAAACATCTCAAAAATGTGGTTGACCTTGTTTTTTGGAAATGATACAGGTTTGGGACTTCAGTTGTCTAAAAAAGTGTTTATTTTGATTGGCTGGAGGTTTTTGGATAGCCCTTGAATGATTGGCGAAAATAATGATGAGAATGCAACTTAGGACCATCAATAGTGAAAACAATTCTATACTCCCCCCACAGTTTACCGAGGTATATTCTGTTCTCTCTAAGACTACTGAGAGCTGTAGCCCCTCCTAGAATTTAATCATAGTTACGCCCAATGATGAAATTTCAAAATTATTTACAAAATATTCAGAATGAATTAACAATGAAAAAATTAAGATTTTTTCCACTCTTTAATATATACATTCAAATGTTACTTATACAAAAAAAAATATCTACAAAGTACTAAATAATTTATCTATAAAAAAATTATATAAAAATATCACTGTAAAAATCATTTACTTAAAATTTATTATGAATCACCAATACCTGTAGTCCAAATAACCGTTGGGCTTTTCAAATTTTTCACTCTTGAAATAGTTCGTCAATAATAATTCCAATCTAGTGGTAGCTCCACCCGTACATTTTTCCCTGCAGCTCGGCAAAAATTTATCAACAAGGACCATTATTAATTTTCGGAAAGACAAGCCATACTTGGCTTCCATTTCGAAACCAACAGTTTCCAAAAAAGTATGCAGCATAGTGGCTGTTATGTCTACTTGGGGCTCCAATTTCATCACCGAAGAAAACCACCTCCAGCCATGGTGAATTTTGTGTGGATTACTTTTATGGTCCTTCTTTGGTTTCACGATCATCATTGCAGCATAGAGCCTCATTATGCCTAAAACAGAAACGTATTGAGGAAACCGTCATTAATCATTTATAAGTTGTGAAAACTACACAGCAAGTCTCAGGATTGTTGCTTCAAGAGGTGTGATGGGCTTTTTAAATTCAATTTTATAATTGGAGGATTTTTTCGCTCGGTGAGAAATCAGTTTCAAAAATATCTTTACTGTTTTAAGAAAAAGTCAGCCTTGATAGTATAACAATAAGCATTTCCTTTTCGGTTATGTATACTTTGAGCAATGAAAAATTACACATGCGTCATTAATTTGTGCATATGATATGTAAGACCAACCATTGCTTGGAACAACCTAACCTTATTTTTAGAATTTTCTGAAAAGTAACTCCATGATGCGAAATTGGGTCGATTTCATAAATTTTGTAAACATATTGATATTATATTTTCAACTTTGATATCTGGTTCTTTAAATTTTCCAGAAAGCGAAACATTTAGACAGAGCCATTTCCAATTAGAGGTTAAGATTTTCAATTACGATAAAAAAATAATAAATATAATTTATTGGTGAATACAAGGGCCATTGACCGAAGTCCTTCAGCCAGTGTATAATTTTTAAATATTTACAGTGATTTTTACATATGCTTACATAATAGAACTGAGGTACATTAGATTTGTGGAAACAAAAAAAAAGAAAAAGAGTCTATAATAAATAATGAGAGTGGTTTAATGTTTTACCAAATAATTTTTCACGGGTACTTGAATTTGATTGGTTGTCCTTCAGCTCTTTCCCTACATAATACCTGTAATATTTCAGTGTATACTCATTCAATTCAATAGAAATAAACACCATTTGAATCAGTGCAATTTTGCCAATATAACACAAATCTATTGATTCCATTAGCATAAAAGTTGCTCGGGATTCGACGATTTCTACAAAATAAGACTCTGCTGCTATAGTGTATCACGCCAGCCTCTGCCCACCATACAGTTGTTGATGTACTGGGGCATTCACATTCGTCATCTTCAATGTCTTCACGACCATGTAGGAAAACGTTTGTTTGAAGGTGGNACAAAAATCGCCGAGCTCTGAAAACATTTACCATACTTCAGTTCAATTACTGAGAAATGTGATGTTATAAATTTCTCATTTTTTCTACTATAAAAAATATTATATTTTCTTCTCCATAATTTTAAATATTAGCTGATGATGAACCTATATAGTTTCGAAACATGTACTGATTGATGTTTTACGGCTCTAACATCTTATGGTGACATTAAATTGTGGAGACGACTTTGAGTTTTTATTCTTCGCAGTCATGTAAAAGTTATTTTTATTCAACGAGAGGCAAAAAATGGTTGATCCGATTTCACAAAGGTAAACCATTGAAAAAATTAATATTCTTGAAAGTTTGAATAAATTGTTGAGTGAAATTGTGCATGATAATACATTATTAACACAGATTTTTTAACAATATACTGTGTATATAGACATAATAAAACATTGGCATAATTTTTTACATATTTCATCAATATACTAGTTTCATTTACAATCCTAAGTAAGAAAGGGTAAGTCTTGAAAATTTCACTCAAAAAACATTTGTAATCATCTATGATACATAAAGACTAAGTATTGCTGACATTGATTATCATCTGATGATGTTAAATTGCCAAAACTCTCAATAATGTCGGGGATAATTTAATTTCTCCATATAAAATAAACACTGTCGATAAAAAAGTTGTTACTAAAAATATCAGTCCGTATTTGAAATTTCAAAGTTGAGGAGGCCCAAGTCAGATGATAAGATTTCTGTGAACATATTCCTTCGAATGTTCAAATAGGTTTCTGATGTCTCTGAGATGCCAAAAGTAGAATTTAGAATTTTTGGTTATTCCTGTATATCTCAGGAACCAATCAGCTAGAGCAGTATTCTTCAGTATTATACATCATGATAATTTTCCGGGTAAAATTTAAAAAATCGAACCATACCTGTCATCCTTTTAAGAAATTTATCCTGATTCTCAATCTGCCCATCCTTGTATTGATATCCTAGTCGGGAATAAAATTCTTCATCACTTTCCCCAACTTCTCTAGGTATACAATAGGGCACCAAGTATGGACAGGACTTATAAAAATGAGCCAACAGCAACTGCCCAAACGTGGGGAACTCGTTCCATAACGAAGACATTACGGATGCGTAGCAAAAAGCCGAGTCAGGATTACTAGAAACCATCAAATCACCTTGCAATACAAATTTCTTGGCCAATAAGTCCATACAAAAAGGAACTCCCTGTGGGTGCTTCGAAGCGTTTATCTTATCGTTGCCGACAGCTACATCCTGTCCATTCAAAAGTGCTTTCAACCTGTTGAACTTGTCTAGAATATGTTCCGAGTTGACACCTGACAAGGAGTTCACTGGTAAGTTGATAGCTTTCTTGCAGTCGAACCTGAACTGCTTTTGAGAAGCATCCTCAAGCAAATTTTTGAAACTGTCCGTGTGCTTATTGAAAAATTCCATTATGTCTGTATACATTTTCAAATTTGATAAACTAATATAGCGGGTTATACTTGAAACACTTGTCTGCACTTTCGGGAGGTCACTTTGGTTAGGAACTGGGACTGGTTTAACGGGAGGCTCAGTTGTGGGCAAATCAGGCACTACTTCTGTCTCTGTGGGAATTTTCGCTTCTTCATTTTTCTTGACAGCTTCTTCAACTATTTCCTTCATTTTGATTCCTAAGGCCTGCACCTGATTTAATGTTTGTGATGCTTGCTTTTCATCTTCCTCACTTACTCCTTGGGTTCTGCATTTAGTGATTATCTTAAAAATAATTCAGTGGAGTAATAAGCTTTAGCATAACAAAAAGAACAGCTTCAGTGACCACGCATTTCATATTAGATAAAATCAACTCTAAACATCTTACCTTTTCAAAATTGTTATGGAAAGCTTTCAGGAGTTTATACTGTTCAACTAGCTTGTTTTTCACTTCATCGTTACATTGTTTCAAAAGCAGTATAACTTGTTCGTAAGCCTCGTTGAAATCTTGCTGATGCTTTTTTATTTTATCTATACAGTTGTGCATCATTTGTTTCTGTTGTTCTCTCATTTTCAACTCTTGTTCTTGCATCTGTCTGCGAAGTCTCAAATTTTGATAATACTGTGCAAGTTTGGCGTGAGAATTGGAAGAGTTTTGGTCGAATTCTTGCATGGCTAAGAAGATACTGTTCTCCTTTTGTTGGTTTTCTCGTTCGAAGTTCTGTTGTATTCTTAGCCATTGCTGCTTAGTGTTTGATTCTTGTAGTTTTGTGAAATCCTCGAATATGCTTATACGAGCTCGTATCCTGCTTTTAATATCTTGATGCCGTTCAATTTCCAGTTTCGTTATCACGTTTTCGATTTCATTGACAGATTTGGGTTCCAATGCTGGGTCGATATTTTTAATTGCCTTTGGAGGACGCAGTTTTATTTCTTTTTCAGTGCTTTCTGGAACATGCTCAGATTTAGAAACATAACTTGAATTTATTATCTGTAATTTATGAAGAGCTGACAACTTTAGCTGCTCCAAGTCATTAACTACTGAATCCATTCTAAAGTAAAAGCTTATTCATAAACTCTACATCAAATAACCAATATTCAAGCTGTTGAATTTTATATCCAAAACACTTTCTTTCTCATCTTCTCTCTCTCTCTCTCTCTCTAATTTCTATGGCTGTTGCTTCTCATTCCAGCGCATTTGGCCAGGCCCTGCCCAGTGATGTTTCTGGATTGACATTTATGAAAATGAACTCATTTTTTGTACCAGATTCAGATATAAGGTACTACTAGATTACTAATTTTTTCAGGTAGTAGCTTTTACGACGTCAGTAAGCCAGTGGCGTCATATAAAAATTGATTTTAAATCCGGCCGTACCCGGACCACATATTTGCAGTTGAGGCAATCACAACATTGTGGTCACGTTGACTGTACTTCGCGGTTGACCCAACCACATTTTTGTGGTCGACTTGCGATCATATAAACCGCACTTGCAGTTGAGACAACTGACATCAAAAATTCAATGCTGTGAGACCAATATGAGAAAAAGTACACCACGGTGTACGCGGTTGGGTACGACTGCAAGTTTGTGGTTAGTGTACGGCGGATGCCGCGATGACATCTCGGCGGAGATCAGCAGCAAGTTGACTGCAGACATCCGTTTTGACTTTTGTGAACGCCCGTGTACGTGTAGTACAGTATTTCTTATGGGCGGCTTGAGTTCGCTGGTACGTGACTGCAATTGTGTGGTCACAAATCACCTAATTTTGAATGAAAAACTCAATCTTTTGAAATTCACTTAGAACATTTGTTAAAAATAAAACATGGAGAACAAAAATACAGTCTTGAACAAAAACATACATTCTTATACAGAAAAAAAAGTATTCAAACGAGAATTTTTAAAAAAAATCAGTTTTGTGTATAAAAAAATAAAAATAATCATTGATTGTTCATTGAATATCAAAGATAATATCTTCATTCAAAACCTAACTAGATATTTTCTATTTTAGAGTGATTGCACTTCAGCAAAGGATTGTTGGGTTCAAAGTTGTGACACAGATTCCAACAATTCTGTTTCAGTAATTCTTTGGTTTGTAATAAAGATGATACAATTTTGCAAGTTAATTTTTTGTATTGACTTTTATGAAATTCAAGTGGGAGGAAATTTTCTCAGTAGCTGCTGAGGAGCGCGGCAAAGCTAATACCCGTTTCATTGCTTGAGCAAGATTACTGAACATTGGTTCATCAAGGAATTTTTTTTCGGTTATTATTGTATTCCAAAACTCATTCACATCTAAATTTTATATCTCTTCCCGAACCTCACAAGTCAAACGTCATTCTGTATTCAATTCTTCCAAATCATCTTATTAGCTTTTTGTTATTGCTTAAGGTGACGGGAATTCCGAAACCAATTCATTTACGAGCTCCAATATATTTGATAGAAATAGTAAATAACATTTTGTTATCTTGATAAAATTATTTGAGACATCTGCTTGTTCTGTCAATTTTCGAGAAGGAAAATATAAACTAAGCAATTTCTAATGTATTACTACTCATTTCACAACCATACCAATAGACAGCCATCTAGTAGAACTGATTTTCAAAATTCTGGGATTTCTTTAATTTGTAAAGTTTTGAAATTCCCTCAACACTTGAACTACCTTTGAACTACCTACGCGAAAAGCAGTTACATTATTGTGGATGAACTGCTCTAAACAAGACGAAAGTTTTTACCAGTATGTGAACTGCAGAGATGAAATGAGTGGCAGATATAGCCGATAACAATTTTGTTATTAATGTTCAAACTCTCTGAATATTGCCCATCATAACATTTGCGTTATCAGCTGCAACTCCAACAACATTGTCATAGGGAATTTTAATAAAATCTAATACATTTTTAAAACATAAATATATTCCGATTGAGGTGGAAGTATCCACCTCAATCAAATTCAAAGTGTCCTGCTTTTTCCCATTAAAAAAAACTTGACAACCACTGTCAATCACGTATTGCAACTAACATCAGTGGTTCCATCTAGTATAACTAACGTAACCATTTATTTTTTTCAATAAATTGATGGATGTAGCCGTTACTACGTGGTAGGAAATCATAATAAAGAAAAGAGAAATGAAACTTTCTATGTTTTTTTACCAGTTTTATTTGTAACTAACGTTACTGCAGTTTCGTCTTATACGGACATTTTCAAACTTATACAATATTTTTTTGCCAGAGCGGGACATCTGCTAAATTATATAATAAAAAAAGTTTTTAGTGTTTTACAAGTTTTTTATTATAGAAGATAGAATAACACAAAATTATCAAAGCACTAAACACAAAATAGTTAAGTAAGCAAGACTTACTAAGCCCCAGTAGTAGCAACACTTGTCCATATTTTGTTCGTTTGAGAAAAAACTATCGACAGATGCATTACTTCCAGGCAGACACATAACGTTCTGAATAATTGTAGAAGAGTTTATAAAATAAAGGTTGTTGGTACAAAAGTGTTGGAATAATTGAATTCGAACAAACGGTTTTCAGTAGGAACGTTTTCAACATTCCAGCCAGATATTTTTCTGCTGTCTCAAAGTTGGAAATAAGTGAAAACTCGTCAGACTTCCGTATTGTTGTAAATCATGCCCTGAAGAAAATAACGCCAGCCGTCACTGGTAGCCATAAACCAATCGTGACGTCACGATTGGAGCGCGCGAATACACGATGTTCCATGCCACTCTAGAAGCAGCGAGAATAATGCTACCGATTTCGATGAAACTTCGGCGAAATTTCTACTGTATTCGATTACGAATTAAACGCTAGCCTCGAGCATATCGACACAGTCAATAAATGGAAGCTACAGTGCGGTACGCGAAGCGATCTAGTAAGGCGATAGACATTCGAATGATAGTTGAAGTTTCAGTTAATGTGTTTATTGTATTTGAAGTGAAGTAAAGTTAAGTTTGAATATTCAGTATAGTCAATTATTGGTCAGCCCACGGGAAAAAACCTAACAGTATCCTGACTGCTGCTAATAAACCCTTGCTTGATCAGTAAATCCAACCGCCGCAGTTTTTACATTCTGCTGGTCAACAACAGTTTCTCTTTCTGTGCCAGGTTATCTCGGAGACGATTAATTTCATTGGCAGACTCTATGGCCGACAAATTTTGCCCTTCGAATTTCAACAGCTGCATGAAAGGGGGCCGCTTGTGCGTGAAAAAATATAACCACAATTCTGAGCTGGGTGTATCTATCTTGCTCACAGTGTTAGCGTGGCGGGTACGTTCTCTTGTAATCTGCCTTCCCGTGCGAGACGCTCCGCCATCCATTTCGAGTTTAAAGCGGGACAATGGTGGCCTCGCTGGGGACATCGGGACAGACTGCCTGAAATTGGGACTGTCCCACCCAAAGCGTTAAAAATAAACAAAAATTGTTTTTTTTCTATCGGTAGGACCTAATAAACCGAAAGTAATTTGAGTTCATTTTTTTATTTTCATTCCGACATTTTTTGCAATAGTTGAATCTGAAAAAGCTGATGCACAAAGCTCTGCTAAGTGTTCCATTATTTTAAATGGAAGATTGCTTTTTGCTACCAACGCAGTCAACTTCAGTTCAGCTCTTTTCACTGCCTGATTCAATGCCACTTTTGGTGAATAAACAAGAATTTCATTTATTTTTGAATTGGTCTTAGCAGCTTTCATTTTACTGTGGTCTGGCGTGGTGTTTTCGTGTCGTTCAACGTGACACTTGCCTTCAACAATTATGACCTGACAAACTTCTTCACAACAAAATCCGGGCTGATAGTGGTCATATGGAACCTTAAGTACCAACCGTTTCAGCTGCTACTACGACAGACATCATCAGCAGTATATGTGAGGCGTGCGTTTTCATAACTAATTAGATCTATGTTTCACTAAAATTGAAAAAATGACGACAATACCTTCTTTGACAGCTTTGACACATGCCTATATAATTGTAGTGGACCAAATCTGATTACTTTCAGTAATACTATGATTCTATGATATTAAAAAAATAGTACGTTTCCAAAACTAGCTACATTCTTCATAAACACTGTTACAAAAGTGTGTGTATCCACTACTGTAGGTGCTGTTTCAAATTTGCGTAGATCCAATAGTATTATGTTATTCATTGCATGCTACGGTTTCAAAACTTGTTAAATCCTGTTCGTATGTGCACGGTTTCTTTGCTGTTTACGTACACATACGATTTTTGTCAGTAGTTGTTTGAAGCTGTTTTTGCTTAAATGAGAGGCTGTATTTTTGTTTTGAAAGTTAAGTTGAATAAACACTATTTTTGCATCACATAAGTTTTTTTCAACTTCTTAACCATTCAGATAAATTGTCAAAGCTGTATAAATCTACAATATGTTTCCAAAACTCGTTTAATCCTACTTTTGTTTTCAAATAACTCAGCAAAACATTCTCTAATATTTGTTTGCTGACCGTATATTAGTTATAAAGAACAACCTACAAATAACAAATCAGTCACACAAACCTACTTGATTTCCAAATTAAAGGTATCAGGAAAGTTGGATTTTCTCGAAATCACTTCTGATGCATTTAACAAGTTTTGGAAATGGGCGCCTCATGTGTTAACTATGAGAATGCAGGTTATACCTCGAAGTCTAAGCAATTGTTTATCGGCAAGATCGCACTTGAAACTGCACAGTTTCAAGTTCAACATGGGATGAATTTACATTATCAATCATTACCACCTCTTCGAAAAAAAATGCTTTGAACGCTACGTCATGAAATAATGATAAATGACCCTGTAACAGAATAACCTTGAAGAACAATCGAAATGAGAATAGTCGTATTTCTTTATCTTTCCTTCATATATTTACTTAATACATCTCAATATTTCACTGATAACATATGGGAGATAAGAAATTGAGGTGAACTCATATACCAATACTCTAGAGTCTTGCCATTTTTTAATAAATCAATATGTTTTGATGTGTTTACGCGCGGAAATCTAAATGATATTTTTTCCTATCAGTTTCGGGATTGATATTGGTGTACGAAAATAATGCTCAAATGCCTGTCCGAAAAAACAGTAGGGTTAGGAAAACTTCGTCGGAGGTGTATATCACTAGAGGGCGGAGTAACACATGGAGCTCTGCTGAAAATAATGCTTCGGGACCTTCAAATGCAGTGGATCAACTCGGGAGAAGCCCTAGAAGATCTGTCTGGACTCTGGTAAGTACACGAACATACTTGTAATTTGACGATATTACTGAAACATCTTTCTTAAAAGCCAATATATTTTTTCAAACTGATATTTTTATGGATGATTTGGAAAATGGAATGAATAAACGAAAGGTTTGCTCATGTGGTTACTTTTGTGAATCAAACTAGTTATCGACGGTTTGTTTGTTTGACAGCTAGAAGTAGTTCATTAGAGTATTACGCATTTTTGCGTTTCACAAATGTGTCAAAAGTTATGAAGTTTATTGTTCAATACATTCCAGCTTGGAAGAAACTTGTGAAATCTTGCAACACAATTGGGTTACATAAAATTAATTTTTAGTCAAGAATTATAATTGATTCAATTATTAAAATCGATCTCATTCCAACATTCCATTCAATTGATGTACATAATATTTTTAAAACAGAAAAAATATTAAGAAAATCAACGGTAAACATTGTGACACAAATAGATTGTCATGCCTTTCTTTATAATTTTACGATTTATATGAATATGGACATAAGGATGCTTTACGTCTTTGGACAATGAATGAATTGTGTAGTCCCTGATATACAGCGTCAGTCATCAATCAAGACGAATTGTATTTACATATTATGGACGCATTAACGGAACATGTTCGTAAACAGTTTTCTATAAAAGCATAATCATTCAACATTGAATATTTTCGACGTTTATCAAAACAATTAAAAGTAAACTAAACAACACATGACCAATTTTTAATATATTTTGTTTATGCAGAGTTCTACATTTCTTCGGTTTCTTTCTCTATCATATATTGATTTCCAAAATATTATGGTATTTTCACAGCAATGTCAAAATTAAATGACGACATCGCTGCAATTACGATGTAGCAATTTTTTTTTATATTGCTGCGACAATTATATGTTTTCCCAGATTTGAATAGTCATCTCTCCGAAAATGTATCAAAGAGTTGGCTTCAGTAATTTCGGACATATTCTTCATCATACGCTGCTTAAGGAGACATGAGCAATATATATGAAAATATATTTACACAATATTCAATGTTATTATTCAGAAATAAATGACCTCATCTCTTCTCTTCTCTTTTGACGAAACGCACGTCGGAAAACAGTGTTTTAATTATGGTGTGTGGAAAGTGTTTTCTTCGAAACGATTGATTATCCATTCTCAGAAAACATTTATTTCAATTTCGAATAATATATTTTTTTAAGAACACATTGTGGAATGTAACTAATTGGAAATGCAATGTCTAGCATATATCACTGCAGTGTAAAAAAGTATCATTGCATTGTAACCTAAGATGATGTCGCAGATATATCAATGGAACAGAGGCTGATAGAATAGATATTCTTCAGTTTTTTCCAAGACATTGAATATTTTTTTAATCTCGTCTCTGCCTGTCACTTTATTTCGAGCTATCTCTGGGTATCTGATGGTAGATATCGATAAGATATATTTTCTAGACAGTTTTATATTTAGAGGTATTCTAACTCGAATTGAACATGAGTTTGATTTGTATAGAATTCCATATTGCCTCGAAAACTTAAGTTTTGAGAGAGAAAATCGTTACAAAAAACAAATAAAAAATGTTTCATTATTATTTCAAGCAATAGAATTGCCCTAGTTGGTGATGTATATATCAAGCATCTACAAATTTTGAAATCGACATTGATGTTTCACTTTCAGTTTCACCATTCAATACATTACACATGAGTATTGTAATATATAAACGCATATACTTTCACATATACATTATCCCTTGCACCCCCCCTGAAATTAACATCTAAATTTATTAATTTCATTAAGAGTTGATAATTTTTTTCGAATTAAATAAAAAAATATTACACCTTCATTCGCAGAATAGAAAACTGCGCTACAATTATAATGCTAGTCCTGTTAGCATTATACTGTGCTTACAAGTTCTTTCATTCTTGTTCTGCGTAACGTGTCAAAGTCTTCGACTGTCAGTCGGTGACGTTTAAAAACACTTTTTTTTTACTTTTTATTTTTATCGTGCTGTGCATAGAAGGGTTGTGTTTTTGGAGTCGTGAAAAATATTTTTACATTTAATGTGACCCAAGTGCATATTTTATCTTCAAATGGCATCCGATAATGTTTTCGGATATATCCCACAAATTGGGAGTGACGGATACGTGAGTAATAGCCAGTATGTTTTTCAGACAAGGTTGACATTATGAAATGCTGTCATCAAATCCTGTTAATTATAAATATTAACGATGTTGAAGTTCAACAAATATTAATTTTGTAATTACTTCAACGTGTCTCCAATAAAAATTATAGTATCACTTTTGCTTCTATCTAGTTTACGGAGAAGTGATTAGTGTCACTTTTAAATCAATAATGGAAAATGTCAACTTTTTACACGTCCAATATTCATTAAGGGAGATTCCTTCCTTATATCGTTAATTTGGATCTGGAAGGTTCGGTTTAGTATCACGTCTGTTAACACTATCTTAGCTCCTAAACTTTGAGGCTAGACTCTCAAGAAATTTCTAATAGAATGAGTTCAGATATTATAAAAGCTCAATTATTTGGAAAGAAAGCTTTTGACTTTCTATTTCTCCATCACTGAACTGAAAATGTGGAAAAATTTCAAAGAAAGGAAGAAAATAACTACAATACAAACTGTTTATGAATATATGTAGAGCATACACAGATACAAACTGGAAGTTAAACCATTTCCCCAATTACTAATTTCTTCCGTTTACAAAAGCCTTCAATTTTATGTGCTACTTGCTTAGAATATTTAAAAGTTGAATTGAAACAGTTGTTGAACCTAACCTATATAAGGGCGCCAGGACCTAAACTAGACAATGCCTGTTTGTTTTGTAGGTGGAACACCTTGTACATTACTTTTTGCACTTGTTGCACAATATATTATTTTTCACAAAAAATCAGAATGGAGCTTTTTGAAACTTTTCAGATTTTTCTTTTCATTTAGGAAAAAAACAATTTAGTTCAATGGTGTCCTGTTGTATATAAAATCAAAGGCATTTAAAAGCTGAAGAAAATGATAACAGTTTGAACTTTCTAGGTGAATTATTATCTGAAATAACAGATTTTGAAAGAACGTAAGCGCAGGCAAAATTATGATTTTTTCACTTTTTTAATTTTGATAAAAATCTGAAATTTTATATTCTTAATATTATATTTGGGTATTATTAGCAAACCAATGACTCCGGTGAATAAAATGTATTAAATAAATTTTCATTCGCTTTTTGAGGCTAAGGTTGTGCGGTAATGGAAAGTCTCAAAAGAGCTTAAAATTGTTCAATGTGGTGAGGATATAATAAAAAAGTCATTGAGAGCTTTCCATTTAAGGATATATGAGATATCCAAATTTTCTCCAATTTTTTGTGTACTTGATCTGGAACCTCCTTCAACTGAATTCCGGGCTGCTAATTCAATATCTGGTGTTCTTATACATATACATCCTTTCAGATGATTGTTTGCTTTAAACTTCTTTTTTCGCACAACCTCTGGTGACTATTTTGAAATGTTCGTGATTTTGGAATATTTTCATTTAGTAAGCGTTCTTTATCCAACCAACTGGTCTCTATTGTATTATAAACAATTACAGATACAGCTAGGCAGTTGTCGAAATACATACTTTTTTTTTGCTGCATTGCGGCTCCTAGTTGTCGCTTCAATATGAATATTTAATTCGACAAATGTCATTTTTCATTTTTTTGTGATTGTTCTTCAGTTCCAAATCTTTCACAAAGTTTCTAATATGAGAAATATCCTATGAATTAAAGAAAACTATCTCATAATATTTCGAAAATATTATTTTCCACTTACATGTTTACAGAAACTTCCGTATTGTTGTATATTTTGACTGGTTAATCTGTTTTTCAGAGCGAAGAACCAACATGTAAATTACGCTTGAGGGTGATATCTGCCAAGAATCTTATGAAAAAAGATATCTTTGGAGCAAGGTGAATGATTTTTTACTGAATCTGGTATTTTTGAACTAATAGTAATAATTTTTTTTCAGTGACCCTTATGTTAGAATTGACTTGAATACCAATAATGGAGATGAAACCATTGATTCAGTTCTCACCAAAACCAAAAGACGGGTATGTTCATCATTTACTGAATTTTGGAATACTTGCATGGTTTTCTCAATGGATTGAAATATTGGAATTCATCGCCAAAGAAAAAATATATAAATTCTATCATTCAAATCTACATACATGCTCAGTAAAAGACATTGAGGCCGCTACCAATCATTGATTGATATTTCCAAAACGAAGTTCCATTTTTTTTTTCTCGTTCAGCATCAACTTTTAGGGACACTACCTCCACACTAGCCCCATAATTCAAAAAAATCCTATCTTCATTGGTAATGGCATCACTCTTAAGGTCCAAGATGAAAACAGCATGTTCGCAAAATCATGTATTTTAGGTGTTATTTTCGACTTGATTGATTTTGGGAAACAAAATAATAGCAAAATAGTAGGACAATTCAAAGATTATTTTTTAGAGAATAAGTTAGTTCTGAACGATGGAGAAACAAATTGTATCATGTTCAAAGTCGATAACAATGAAACACCACAAAACATAATTATGCACAATCAAAAAATCATTTGTAATATTTTAGTGAAGTTTCTAGGCATATACATTGATGACACTTTGAGTTGGAGTAGTCAGATAGACAACCTCTGCCATAAACTGTCCTCGGTAACATACGCCATGAGAGTTCTAAACAAAAATTTTGATTCTGAAGCACTAATTACAGTATATTATGCGAATTTTTACTCCGCTATGAGACAAGGGATAATAATTGGGGCTCATGTCATGGGTTTAATAGAGTATGTCAAAAAAAAAACTATCAGAATAATCTTTAATATAAATACAAGGGACTTCTGCAGAGGAGCCTTCAAGATCAACAAACTACTTACTGTGTCAGCAATCTATATATATGAATCAATAAAATTTATCATCAATCATCCAGGCCATTTTGACATACATCGCAAAACGCATCTTTACGAAACAAGACAAAAAAAGACTTCTCATATCCCAACCATGCAAAATCCCTATATGAACGTAGCACTATCTATGCTGGAATGAAATTTTATAATAATCTTCCAAAAAACATAAAAGATATTGTCTTTGCTAACAGATTTCTGAAATCTGTAAGAAAATTCTTATGTAATCTTGAGCCCTACAATACTTATGAATATTTTCTGGCCTGTGGAAATTTATGAACCTTCAATCGAAATAAGCGTCATTTGAATCAGTACACTTTTGCCAACATAACACTAGTCGAATAATTCCTCCAGTATAAAAATTCTGTGCTAAGGATTCGATAAAGTCGACGAATGCTGTTTTTGCCTGGTCCTGATTTGGAAAGGTTCTACCGGTGAGAATATTATTGAAGTGCTTGAAAAGATAGTAGTCAGTTGGCGAGAGGTCTGGAGAGTATGGTGGGGGCAGAACTTCGACACTCCATTCGTTTAATTTTCGGGCCAAAAGAAGCACACCAAGTTTGATCAAATATCAAGGTTTTGCTCACTGTTTTCTTTAATTACCGTGGCGTAGTGGATCAGGAGTTTTTGCCACTTGGTCGTACAGTTAATAAGGAGTATTATCTTTAAGTTATGCGCCGCTTGTGAGAAGCAATACAAAGAAAACGTCCGGTATTGTGGAAAAATAATTCATTCATCATGATAATGCAACTGCTCACTCGTCATTGCTTGTTCGAATTTTTTTGTACAAAAACCCACCGCAATCGTGTCTCAACCACCTTATTCACCAGATTTGGCCCCCTGCGACTTTTTCATGTTCCCAAGATTGAAGAGACACCATGAAAGGTCGGTGTGTTGCGACGATTGAGGAGACGAACACCAAATAGCTGGGAGAGGCATACCAAAAGTGCATATCAGAACTGCTTTTTTTTGAGGATTGGAAAAAACATTGGCACAAGTGTATTATATCTGAGGGGCACAAAATAGAAATGGATGAATAAATAAATATTTTTTGAGATAAATGAAATGTCGCCTCTTATTTTTTGAAAAAAACAGCATATATTGTTGAATTTGAATGCCATATTTTCAAGTTTCTGAGAATTTGATTCAGATGCGTATTACTTTTGGAAGGATTTAATGATATTTCTATTGGAACGTATTCTAAAAACACTTTTTCGTGGTGTATTTCATCAGTTGGGACTGATGGAATCGAATCCGATATCATTCACAGGATTCCTACACAATATAATTAATGAAAGAAGTAGAATTTCACTCACATGGAACACTGCCATCTTCAAAATGTAGAAGTAGAAAGCCGAAACCTATCTTTTTCAAAAATTTTAAATGTGTTGTTAAAAGTAAATTTACTTATTTGGACCTGTATGTATGATTAGTCTAATAAAGTAGTTACAACTGTTTGTTACCAAGTATTGTGGTATATTCTGTACTGCTTTAACAGATGAATAAATATATTAACAACCGCAACCAACAACACATGCAAAAGTGAAAAATGTTATATAGCCCCAGTAAGGTGTTCTTAACTAAATTCTAAATATATTATAGTATCAATTATTATATTTGATTGCTCGATTATTAGGTCAAACCAGCCGAACACAAGTTAATCCTGCAAGTTTTTGACGAAAACAGGCTTACGAGGGATGACTTTTTGGGAATGGTAGAGTTACCTTTGACTGGCTTACCAAAAGAACAGGGTGACAGAATAGTACCAACTGTCAAGTACCTACTGATGCCAAGAAGGTGAGTTTTGTCATATTTAACATTAACATTAATTGGAGGGTATGTATTTTATGAGCATTGTTTTTTCATGTTGATGTTGAAGTAGATTTTGAAAATATTATAGATGATTTGTTTGAAGGTGGTTGACAATGTTTCGTGGTGTATTTCATCAGTTGGGACTGATGGAATCGAATCCGATATTCACAGGATTCCTACACAATATAATTAATGAAAGAAGTAGAATTTCACTCACATGGAACAATGGAACACTGCCATCTTCAAAATGTAGAAGTAGAAAGCCGAAACCTATCTTTTTCAAAAATTTTAAATGTGTTGTTAAAAGTAAATTTACTTATTTGGACCTGTATGTATGATTAGTCTAATAAAGTAGTTACAACTGTTTGTTACCAAGTATTGTGGTATATTCTGTACTGCTTTAACAGATGAATAAATATATTTTTTTCTTTTTGTTTTCATTGGAGTAAAATAAGTCAGTTCTCATTAACTCAGCTTTTCACAAAAATACACATTTTTGCACAAATTTCTTTTAAAATATTACCTGGCTAGAAGGCCAGGATATTGGAATGGATTCTTGTGAAATCATATCCATAATTTTTATATCACTACTTAGATCATCTGATATTATTTTAATTCACTATGCTTGTTGCTATGATTACTTTATTGTTTCTAATACTCATTATGCTATTTTTTTCGTCTAAAAAATTTATGTTATCCATTTACTGAGTTATCAAATCGTCTATGTTCATAACCATCATTCAGGAAAGAAATTCTTCATCCCAAATTCTATTTGTATCATTTCACGATTACAAATTTTCATTTTATTCTTTTGGAATGAAGTGCAAAACTGATCTCATTTCTTGTGTCTAACGAAAGTTTGTATTCGGACTGGTCCCGTTTCATTAGCTTCTCCATTAACGCTTACCTTTCTCTTTTATGAACCTCCCATTGTTGCTTGTTCGCAAATTACTCAACGAAGCGATTTTAGTGCTCGATCCAGGGTTCGGGGACACCTAGAGGTCTACCATGCCTTTCTGTATGATAGTAACTTGCCACCCATAGCGGCGCCAGAGGACGCACCTGTCGACGAGAGGGAGTGGGAGGTGGTCAGCGAGGCGAGAGAGGAAAATGCGGCACAGGTATAATAAAGTTTTCTTTTAACTGCTTTGGTTTTTATATGTGTTCAGATAAATAACAGTCCTGCAGTGAAGTGTGTTTCTAATAGACTTTTCTATGCTGAGCATAATCCTGCGAACAAAATTGGCCAGTCACATCAGGCTACTGTGTAATTAGAGGGTTATATTTAAAATTTTGGTGTTTTTTTAGGTTATGTTTGATAGACAGAATGTATCAAAATCATCTATCTAAATAAAAAGTATACTGCTACTATTTTTACAAATAAATGTCATTTGTCAAATGCATCTCACGAATTATTCAACACATCAGAGTTATTTTTTGAAAATTTCATCAGAAGGGTAGTGAAAAAACTACTTAACTAAAATTAAAAACAGTTGAAAATTTTCAAACAAACCATTGAAATGTTACATTCGATCAAGGATCATCTACTTTTCAACCACAGAACTGAAAGAAAGGCCTTGAAAAATTGAGTTTCAGTTCTGTTTTCTCAACACGAAATCATAAATATTTTCGGTCTTTTGGAAAAAGCTATATAATCCCTATTCATAAAAGTGGTACTAGAAAGCATCTGCAATCAATTAGAGTTGCCCAAAATGCCGTCTAATCACTAGGAAACTCTTATGTGACCCAAAAGCCATCTTTATTAATTAACAACATGGATTCACCAAAAAAAAATCAACCGCTTCTAACTTACCACTTTATGAAAACTATGTAATCAGTTCTCCAGAAAACAAGTTGCAAGTTGATTCTACACACACGAATCTTTTTTATTTATTTTTCTATTTATGTGAACATTGAATTAACTTTATTAGATTTTATTAGAACTATGAAATACAAATGAATTCACTGAATTAATTTAATTAAAAAAAATCACCTCGAAGATGCGACTTCAATCCCTCTTGTTCATAAAAGAGGACATATGGCTGGCTCCCCACTCACAGGCGATTTTGGTGAAATTGGGGGCACTTGTGAATCGTTGTATTTGTGCCACTTGCCAGTGTATGGGTGTCTGTAATATGCTGTGTACTGTGTAATGCCGGCTAAAGTAGTCCCACTATGATTCGAAAGTGCATATAGATTATAACAACAAGGAGCTACATTGTCAACTGCATAATTGCTCTTATCTAATCCTTCTAAAAAAAATCAATGGCAACATTTAATTTGCCTCCAAATCTTTCCGTTGGAGAGAATCGTTTTAAATGAATCACTAAAATAAGGGAAAACTTAGGGATTCATAGGGAGTTTGCGCATTTTCTCCTTTCCTTGCACCTCGATCACGTTAGTTTTTCATCTCCATCCATAGTTTCCTCTCTCGTGAAGGAATCCAAGCATTGTGACAAACTCAGTTGACCAGTTCTTTGTGGTGTGGGGAAAGACAAATCCCTAATAGGATCGAAGGTTACTGATGAGTACAAAATTATAAATTGATTGTCTGGAAATAGTCAAGCTGTTTTCTCTCTATAAATCCTAGAAGGAACAGATATTGTAATCTTTCAAAATTCCTTTTTGTAAAACCAATCATGGTCAAAATGAAACAATTTGTATCATCTTTGAAACGATCTGTTGAAAATGTATGATGCATTAACTAATTCTGTGAGCATTTGTAAAATTACTTTCAAATTGGCTTCTCCATTGAAATGAATGAATAAATATATTAACAACCGCAACCAACAACACATGCAAAAGTGAAAAATGTTATATAGCCCCATAGAACAAAGACAAATGACATGGAAGTCTCCAAAATGTCGATACAAATTTGTCGTGTATGTAAAAATGGCGGCTCTTTTATCTCCTTTTATTATCAACTCAGAATGATGTGCAGATAACTTTTAGCAGTATACATTTTCAGATATATGATCTTAATGGTTTATTGAATATATACACCTCAACAATTGAAATGCAATAAATATATTGCCACTCAGAACATTTGCTTAACCAAGCCTCTCTTATCTTTTCGTTTAACGGATTATAACTGTAAAAAATTTATTAATAATGATTTATTTTACTAAGAAATATACATGTTTGTAGCACGGGGAAAACAACTCAAAAGTCTGAGTACAAGCACAAAAAACCGAAAAGTGTTAGAATGGCATAGTTTTGTACTATGAACCCAAAATGATACAGAAACCAGAGGTGATATGACAATTAAGATCACGGGATAATTCAGCATAAAAAAAATCTTTGGTATTCACGTGTAAATGCAACATTGTTATTTTCTCTATAGCCTGTATACGTAAGTCCATCTTCGGAATCACACACGCCTCTACCTCAAGGTTGGGAAGAAAGGCAAGACGCCAATGGAAGGACTTATTACGTGAATCATATTGCCAGGACGACACAGTGGGAAAGGCCAACTTTAAGGTAATTATGATATTTTTTTAATAATAGATTAGATTAGATTTTTTATTGGTCAAGTTATTACACCTTAGTGCTATGACGAGTCAATAATGTATAAAATAAATGAAAATTACAATTAAAATTACCGAAAAGGAGTAGGTAGTACATAAAAATTTTATATGATACAAGCGCAAAATAAAGTAAATAAATATATAAATGTAAAAATGAAAATGTGAAAATAAAGATACATAGAGACAGTACCTACATTGACAATAGTCACTCTGTAAAGCTGAAGTCAGACGCATCATAGTAAGTAAGCATTCTCTGAGAGATGTTTTTTCAGTTTCCGTTCGAAATTAGCGAGGGTTGCATTTTCCATTGATTGGGGCAGTGAGTTGTACAATGATATGTATGAGTTACATCTCCTTGTTATTTCTAGTCTTTGGTTTGGTGCTCTAATATTATCCTTGTTCCTGGTATTATACGAATGGTTGTTACCGTTTGTAGTAAACCTTTGTAAATTTTCTTGAATGTGTATCAAATTGCAGTATATTACACATGATGGCAGAGTTAATATATTGAACTTAGCTATTCCAGCTAAAGTTCTGATTGTTCTTTTTTGAATTGCAAATATTCTCGAGATATGAACATATGTGCCCCAGTTTATCAATCCATAAATTAAGGAACTATGAAACATTGTATGATAACCGGTATGGGCAGCTTCATTACCGACTTTATTTTTATCTGCCTGATTGCATAGACCTTGCATGATAGATTTTTTGCTAGTTTGTCAATATGGGGTTTCCAAGTTAACTTTGAATCAATTGTTACTGTAAAATGAATATGCTATTGAACAGAAAATTACAGCAACTGCCCCAAAATGGAATGCCATATCTTAAGTGTGATTCAAATAATGAATAATATACAGTTTTAGCAGTTGGAAAACTTGATTCTTTAGAGATTAGTCTAACTGCATAGCAACCGGAAGATAATTTTTTTTTAAGAACAGTCAAGTGATGATCAAAAGTATTTCAACAAATTATAAAGACAAGTAAATAAAATAAATATACAATAACTAGATTGTGACAACATTGGCAATGTCATAGTTCATAAATTCCGTTAAAGAATACCTACTGATATATTTCACAAAGTAAGTTTTTTCAATGTACATATTCTTCAGGACGTTCAAAACGAATACATAAAAAAACATATATTCAAAATGTTACAATACTTTACAAGTAAATTAAGGAGATGATGATTATTAAAAAAATTCAATTGATCATGTTTACTTGTGTCATAACAGGTAGCTTTGAAAATGACATTCGTAATGTCAAATATACTTTGAGGTTTGACATCATTGTCAAACTTTGTCCAGTAATTTTGTGAGTTATTCAAATAACACTTTGACAGTTTACAAGACAGCAATACATACTTTTATATATTGCCTTTGTGGGTTAGACTAGCACCACATCGTTCAATGAGTACATCTTGGAATGCTATCCGCTGGTCCTGTTCAGTCTCCATGGTGAACTTGATGCTGTGGTGATGAGCGTTCAAGTGGTCTAGGAAAATATTTAGAGCGTCCCTTCCATGTTTCCAGATGACGGAGGTATCATCCATGTAACATAGCCACAAGGTTCGTTTAAATTCAAAGGTGTCGATTGCTTTCTCTTTAAAACGTTCTATGAAGTACTTGGTTATCACTGTGCTAAATGGGTTTCCCATCGCAACACCATCTAGTCGCTCATAGAAGTTCCCCCACCACTGAAAGAAATTCACTGTGAGACGTGCTCTGTAGAGTCCGACGATATCACTTGAAAACAAATAGGCTAGCCCCCTCAGAGAGTATTCCAGTGGGACATTGGTAAACAAGGACCAGAATATCTGCCGGCTTCAAAGTTGAGTCCCTATTCAGTACAAAGAAAGCATTGTTGAAATCTCAAGTTTACAAAAGAACTCCTTGTAAGATCTTCTTCAATCTAGAGTCAGGATTTTAGTAATTAATATTTTTTTGTTAGTATTCCAGTTAGTTAGTATACCAGATTCAAGGCTTTGGGTAAGTCGTTTACATATAGAAGGAATAGTGATGGTCCAAGGATCGAGCCCTGAGGTACACCAAGCCTAATTATGATTCTACTAGATATAAAATGATTTTGTTACAGTATTTGAGGTAATTTTTATCCATGTTAGGGCATTTCTACCTATGCCATTAAGAAAGGAGCTGATTTGGTTTCTTTTATGTCAGTTATTTTTGAAAATTTTTGTCTCCTCTTTTTCCACCAACTGGTTAGGAACAAGAAGGCACACTACAAAAATTTTTATGATGATTTTGAGTGACTGTTGCTATTGTTAGTGTACCTTTTGAAATAACTTATAACGGATTTGGTGCTATATCTTCTGTTAATTCTCTTGAAGGTATCAAATATTTTTGATATCTATTTCTGAAGTGAAGACGTTTTTTCGAAAATATCTGTTTTCTTTTACAGTCCAGACCCTTCAATGTTAGAAAACAAATGTACGCAATAATTATTCTCTCTACATACAAATTAATGCACTAGGAAATTCGGGAACCTAGCTCACTAGGTTGCAGTTGTCATGACGTGATTATTTAAATTTGTTTCAGCAATAGTACTTCAGAAACTAGAGCTGTCGAAAGAGAGGAACAACGTGAAGTGTTCGAAAGAAGGTACCACATCAGTGCTGATGATGAGCAGAATGGGCGCAGTGACAATTCTAATGTCAGTCAGGTAGGGTGGATATATTACCTATAGAAAACTGCATGTTTCTCGTTGAATCATGTTGCATTTGTCTGTTGTCATAATCATTTGTGACTGATAAAAAACAGTTTGTGAACTGAGATTTTGAAACTGTAGTTCCACAAGGTTCAATACTGAGACCCATTTTATTCTTAGTATTCACGTGATTATCCTATAAAATTACAACTTGAATGGTTAAGTTGAGGAATAGCTGACCCAAATTGAAATTCAATAAGTGTTTGTTCTACGAAAAAAGGCGATAAAATATATATCTAGAGCCAAGCGTTTGGACCACTGTAGATCACTGTTCATTAAAAGTAGAATACTAACAATATACTGCAGCTTCATTGTAGAAACAGTATGTCTAATTAAAAAAAAAAGTTTTCCTTCCCAAAGAATATATAACACGGCAAAATGTCAATATACCTCTCCCAAAACCAACTTCAACATTACCCAAAAATTCCATTATATTTGAGAGTTGGAAGATATTTAATCATCTACCATTTGAAATGAAAAGTGTTACATACTCAAAAATATTTTGAAAACATGTGAAGGAACTTCTACTCATGAAAGCATATTATGGCTTGGAAGAATATCTTGTAGACAGATTTTGAGTACCTGAACTTTTCAGGTTAAAACGACTGATTTATTTCATTTATATATGTAAATCAATTCTTATCTGCTTTGTAGAATCTTATGTCCTGTCTACATGTAAGCTTAGACCTTGTATTGTTCCATTTTCACTTCAATTAATTTACTGTAAATTGACTGATTTATTTTATTCATTTATATTACAGGAGTTTTTCCCCAACACCAAACCGTTATTTTAAACACCTCGACACGTGTTTCGATCACCAAGTGATCATCTTCAAGAGGAAGATCAAACAATTTGATTTTCCTGTATATGGGCCAAACAGGGAGAACATTTTCCCAAAGAATTAAAGATCATATAAGTGGTTTCGTAATTAGAAAGACCAATTCCACATTTACAAACCACTTTTTAGCACAGGTTACATTTAGTAGAGAAATGTTTGAAACTCAGTCTTCTAGAATGTTTAAAAATCAATAGATTTAAGAATTCGGGTAATTTACTGAATGACTAAATAGAATTAAATTAGTCACCGTTACTAAATATTTTTTCAAATGTGGAAACTGCAACATAAGTTCAGGTAATTTAATTCATTACTAAGTCAGATACACAAAACATTAAATGGCCAGGTAAAGATCGGGTATTTCAAATTGTGAAATTGGGTTTATGAAGCATTGAATATATATAATTCAGTTAGTAAAGACACAACGAAGAAGCCATTATGTGTAGTCTGAAACTTGGGGAACTTATAAATTGATCCTAACAGGGCACTCTCCCGCTTCAATATGATTTAGTGATTTTCCAAAAATGAGGAAAACAGCAGTTGAAGTTGATTTGTGTTTACGAAAGTCATTCTAACATATTGTTGAAAATTTTATCTCATCAAGTTGCTTTAAGAATCTGTCTAGGGAACAATATTCAAATAATTTAGAAAAACCAGATGAGATGACACATAATTTTCTTCACTAAGAAGAATAGTCCACTTCTGAAAGAGCAGGCTAATCATTTCACATTTTGATAGATTGGGAAAGATATCTCTTCAAAATGATAAATTCACAATATAAACCATGGTTTTATTTGAAACGTGACATTCATCTATAATTAAGGCAGCAATAGAATTTCTTTCTGTTTGAATTTTATTGTTTCAACAATTTTAGTAAAAACTGTGAAACAGTTGTTGAAAATTTCAGCTTTATCATTCTCGGCTTTATTCGTTATACTAATATTATCATGGTCAATAACTATGTTTTATAGATATTTTTTTGTGATTTCAGACTACATTCCATGTTTCATTTTTTGTTGCTGTTGAAAATGAAATTTTGATAAAATTTTCACTTGGCCGCTTCAAATAAAATTCTGTGTGCCTTCTTTGCATTTGGGTATTCATTTCAAACGAATACAGTAAACTATTTATTGTATTCGTTCGAAAAAGTCCTTAAAGGACGAAACTGCAGTAACGTTAATAATAAATACAAGTGGTATAAAAACATACAAAGTTTGATTTCTCATTTTTCACTAATTCTACTTGGACATTTGATTATCGATTTCAAATTAAATTCACTCAAACATATTTGTAACTTTTGTTGTTAGTATTATATTATTATTGTATTATTTTTCCATGAAAACAGATAAATGTCCTGACAGAAAAAGAGCGCACTATAACTATGATATGTTTTTATCATTTTTTATGGTTTATAAAGCACTAATAAATTATACACATTAATCTTCCTCTTGAGTCACTTTGTTCATTGATGAAACCGTTTAAAATTCGTTTGATGGTTTTTAAGTTTATCTACATGGACTTGGCAGAAGGAATTTGTTTTATAATATATAATGAAAAGGATATACAGGATGATAAGGGTATCTGTTTATATATTGACAAATTTTGTTTGATACATAAATTCGTGATAATACAAAATAATTAGACTTATATCATCAGACATTGCATAGAAACAGTCGCTCACAAACAGTGTTGCCATATTTGTACCTGGCTACATCTTTATGCCTATAAATCGAGCAGGGCCGGATGTTTGCTCTCAACCCAAAATCGATTGTGAACTCGTGCAGAGAATTATAAATTTTATTTCATATATATAATGTGATAAATGTGTGTGTCCGCTTTTTGTTATCCAACGTCCTATTCATACTAACACTAACGGATTCAGTTTTGCATGGGCATTTTGTTTGCATGATCATCAGGCAGACATTGACAATACAGACCAGGCGGATATCGACACAACAGACCATCAAGATGACGATGTCACTGATAACTTGAACAACGACGTCACGATTCAACTGGATAACGAAGTTGTCGATCACCAGGATGATGATGTCACTGATCACCAGGAAAATGTCGTAACCGATCACCAGGAGAATGATATCACCGATCACCGCGAGGGTGACGTCACCGATCACCGCGAGGATGACGTCGCCGATCACCAAGATAATGACGTTGACGTCGCGGATCACCAGAATAATGACGTTGATGTCGCCGTTCACCAGGATAATGACGTCATCGATCATCAGGATGGTGATAAAGACGTCAGTCAACCGACAACCGATAATATACCTGACATAGTTATCGAAAGAGACCTCAATGACGAACGTAACCACGAGAATAGAATTAGTTTGAGATCTGATATTTGCGATACCGATTACAATGGTTCAGCGGAGAGCAACGAGAGCAGTCGACGGAGTTCTGTCGATATACCTCGTTTCCAGCTATGTCAACTGAACTTTGGCAGACGTTCGACGGAGAATGGTCTTTCCGAGGTTGGTAGGCTTGCGCTTCAGTGTGGTCCGTTGTAGGTCTCATTAATTGTGTGTTCGGTAGCTAAAGTGTGTTGCTGATATTTTGTTTAGTTGTTTTTATTTGTATCTTGCATATTTGTACTGGCATCTTTGAGCTAACATATGAAATGTAACTATTCAGTATATATTTTGCCATATTGCCATGACAACAGCTTCAAGACTTTTGGTAGTTCTGACAACAGAACTCTTAGCAGTCAAATCACATTTATATGGTTATAAGATTACAAATTAATTTGTTTAACTAAGAATGAATTTAACTGGAATGAATTTAATAACCAAATTTTACAAATTTAGTATGTAGATTTTTGTCTCTTTTGTAAAATCTACTGAGTTGCACTCATATGGCTTTTTAATTAAGCCTAAGAAACAGGACAAATTTATTTATGTATTTGTTGCAACATTACCGATTCATATCCCAATGTTTTTAAGATTAATGTGGTGGTAAATCATCTTTCAGTTCGGTTTGGTTAACCTGTTTTTACGGGGAGGTGGAAAACGTTCCCTATGTACTTGGGAACATAATTTTTCCCCCCATCACTGTGTTCCTGGATTCATGTTACAAAAGGTGGGATGGATCAAACACTTTTAATTGTATTTTAATATTGGAAATTTTAAATTTTTGAAAACAAGCCGCCCTTGAGGGTGAAGTGAAAATTATTGAAGGTTACTGTACCCTTTTTGTTCATGACACTCTTTTTATATTGTTTTTCTTACTTTGGTTTATTTAGCTGGCAGCAATATTTTTATGTTTCTTTGCTCCCGTTTTGATTATCTATTGGATATATTTTTTATTTTGAATTTTAGTGTTTCACTGTAGTGCTTCATTTCAATTTTTAGAAAGTAAAACGGCCTGCCACGCCGTTTTACTTTTTATTAATATCGCTTTGAAATGAGCTGAATTATTTTGTTTGTTGAATTTCAGTGATACATGAATTAAATCGATTGTTGATAATTTTTATTCAGCGCCACGGTTGAACGGCGTTTTGTCGTACTATAAATGAACTAGCATGTTGACATATGTAACGCTTGAAGTTCTTGATAAATCCGCTCGATACCAGCGCCGAATTAAAATTATCAACATTCGTTTTAAATGTATCTTTCAAATACAACAAACTTTTTAAATCATCAAAAAATTCAATTCTTTGTCAGAAATTAGATTTTTAAAAAGATTGATGAAATAAAATGGTACTTGCTTGAGAATGTTTTGCACAAAAGTTGTAACCAAATTTTAAATTGAATGCATTAAAGTGAATGTTGGAAATATTCAACACTTTCCATAAAATTGATATATAATAATCTTTATTATTCATAGAAAAATATTTATTATGGATAGTTAATTTGCTATATTTTCAGACAAACGAAAGTCTATTTTTATTACCATCAATGTTTCATGGGAAAACTTTGACAGTCATTCAAATATATTCATTGAAATTATTGAAAGTGAATTTGAAGTTTCATTATAATTCAACAGTCATATAAATAACTAACATTTTATTCAAAGGTCAAAATTATATGCGGAATTGAAACGTTTGTTGAATTTACTCGAATAATACATTCCATTGACTGTTGAATAAAAATGTTTGTTCATTACCGAGTTGAACTCTATGTATATAGATTATTTTTCAGCATAATATATAGTAAATTAGCGTTCCATTTTCCAATACTCTGAAACAATATTTTTCTTCGGAATCAATAAAAACTTCAAGTAATTTCATTAGTCTTTTTTATTCATGTAACATTTTAAATCAAATGTCAATCAAATTTTGCTAACAATCGTTTTTAAAAACGGCGTTCCATAACTTTATGTCTGCACAAGAAAAATACAGAATAGTAGTACACTACAACAAATATTCTACTAAAATGCAGTATATTTATTGCTATCATTTCAGATTCAACCAATATATCAAACTATTTTTTGACAATTTTATTTTACATTGACAATTCGCCATTTGCATGGGACATTCCATTTCACAATGGTATTCTTTAAATTTCTTTTCATAATGAAAATTTCATCATCACTGTGATTTCCTTGGCTTTTCATATGTCTTACACAAGCTTGAATACTCTTTATCATTAATATGTCATATGAATTGTTATCCGTCTCAAATCATAACCTACATTACTATAAATCTTATATCTTTTCAAATTATTTTTGATGTAATCAAAGTTGAGTTTTATTATCATAATCTTTATGTTTATCATTTGTTGAATCTATTATTTTTTCTGTTACTCGACATTTAACTTTTGCAAACCTTTGAAATTTTTCTATGGACAATTTTGCAATTTTAATGAAATTTGTATATTAGGGTAACCTAAATAAATTACCTGATGTTCGAGAAAAAACTTAACATGATGGACCTCCAAAACAAGATTCTATATTTTTCTCATATAAAAAAAAGTGTACTTCATTACGCAATTAGTATTTCATTCATTCATTTCTGTTCATTTTATTTCAATGTTTTAACCGGTATGTGTTTATTTTCATTCAAATGTATATGTCCGCTTTTATAATTAACAGTTATTTCTTGAGATCAATAATATATTCGCCATTGTGGAGAAGTACCTATATTTTACTAGGTACAAGATACATGCCTGTGACTTATAACCACTTTTAAGCTTTCAAGACAAAAAAAATCCTGCCAAGGAGTGATTATATCGTAGACATAAAAATCTAACCCTATTCTCTTCATCTTTTCAGAGCGATGACCAACTCGACAGCATGTCAAACAACTCGTCAAGAAGAGATTCGACGGTCTCTTCTTCGACCAGCAACAGTAATTCTCAAAACAATCTCGAAGGACTATCTGAAGGGTTGCCTTTAGGTTGGAGCGTGCAGCGTGCCCCGAATGGACGTCTGTTTTTCATAGACCACAATGAAAAAACGACCTCGTGGGTGGATCCCAGGACTGGTAGAGCGAGTCCTATGCCTAACCAAGCGACCACTCCTGTGATTAATAAGAGACCTGATGACGATTTGGGTCCGTTGCCCGAAGGGTGGGAGGAAAGGGTCCATTCGGATGGGAGGATTTTCTTCATTGATCACAGTGAGTTTGAACTTGAATTATTGATTCAATATCAGTCTTTTACACTTACACATTCTCACATTATTTTTTTAGTGTCAGCAGCGTCCACTGCTAAGTTTATAAGCTATGTGTTCTGTCAATCCCATCAGCCATGCAATGTAGCAGAATCAATCCACTTTCAACTAGATAAATTCTTATGAGAAAAATATCTGGTCAAAGCAGATTCGAACCCACAATTTATGGATTGTGAGTCGGACACACTACCACTGGTGTTAAATTTAATTAGCCAAAGTGCAGTTTGGTATAGACTTGAGTAAAGACAGCTTTGACATTACTGACAGATGACATTAACCTCAATATTGTTGTGTCTCTAACAATGTCACATAATAGATGAAGTAATTTCAACTTATTTTATGGGAACTGTTTGTTTTTAAATAACAGAGAAAGACTACCATATCATTCAAAGGATTTTTCAAGTTTTAACTGAAACCAATACATTGAATTTTATAACACATATTTTTCTTACAATACATGTTATCCTTTATCTTGCCGTATGTGATGTTCAACCTGACATTTTTAGTTATGTAATTTTCTCCAGATACGAGAACAACTCAATGGGAAGATCCCAGGTTATCAAACCCTTTGATAGCAGGTCCAGCAATACCATATTCTAGAGATTACAGAAGGAAATATGAGTATATGAAAACGCAACTTAAGAAACCAGTGAGTTTTTGTTTAAACATATTGAGTGTTTTCTGATTGTTTTCATTTTAGTCGAATGTTCCTAACAAATTCGAAATAAAAGTGAGGAGACGAAGCATTTTGGAGGATTCCTTCAGGGTAATTACATCAGTTTCTAGAGTAGACCTGTTGAAAACAAAACTGTGGGTAGAATTCGAAGGGGAAGTTGGATTGGATTATGGTGGGCTGGCGAGAGAATGGTTCTATCTGCTTTCAAAGGAAATGTTCAACCCGTACTATGGACTCTTTGAATATTCAGCGATGTAAGTTTCATGAATTATATTTTTGATGTGGAAGATAGAAATGAGTATTTGAAATACTCTTGGGTAGCTATTTAACTCAAAAAGCATTTCAAAAATATTAAATTAGGATGGTGTAACAAAAAATTACTCTTGAAACTAATACTTTTGTACACTAATGCCATCTTAGTTCAACGGGTTTTTAGGGCGCTTTTTGTCCACTTTATCTCTAACCTCCAAATTTTTGTAGTGATAAAAATTGTTGAATGGCAGTAAAATGTCATAAATGAACAATATTTGATTAAATAATAATCAGAACTTGTGTGTTACTTCAATTATTTCAGGTATTATTAGCTTTTACCTTGATTGAATCTATTCTGTTTTATATAACGCCTTTATTTTTTACTGGAAATATTTTGTATATCCAGAAAACAAAACTAAAATTCTGAATCAACTGAATTTCGTTTCTTAACTTCAGAAGATTGCCATTTTCTTGGATCTGAAGAAGGCCTTCGAAACGGTTGATAGTCAGATACTGATTGAGGAAATGGAAGCGATTGGTATTGAAATGGATAAGAACAATAGTAGTAAACGTTTCATCTTCCGCTTTTGTTATTGGATTTTGAGTGCCACAGAGGAGTGTCCTTAGGACCTCTTTTGTATCTGATTTATATCAATAGTATGAACTATATCCATTAATGTGATTTTATTAACCTTTAGGTAGACGACACTATTATCAATCTCAGGTAGTAACCTTCAATGCGTTATTAATAAACTGAATGATTCATTTCAACTCTAATGAAATGAAACGTGATATAGCTAAAACTGAGGCAATGTTAATAACTACACCTGGCATTCGATGTTTAGGATTTCCCAATAAGTTACCATGTCTGGTATTGTGTTCGTTTTCTGTGTTACATCGATAATATAGGAAGTTATAAAAAAAACATGAGAAAATCAATAGATGAATTTCATCGATGATGCCACCGTACTCTTAGCATTCAATTATTAGTATCCAATTGTAGCTTTTCAACTATATCATTAAGAACTAAATTAATCTTCCTCAGGGACAATTACACCCTACAAATAAACCCCTTCTCCGGAGTTTGTAACGAGGAACATATGAGCTATTTCAAATTCATCGGACGTGTCGCAGGAATGGCTGTCTACCATGGAAAACTACTAGATGGTGAGTGCATACGGAATCAAAGCTTTCTTTTGAAAAATTATCTTTTTTTTTTTCATTTCATAGCCTTTTTCATCAGACCTTTTTATAAAATGATGCTGTCAAAACAGATCGATCTGAAAGATATGGAATCAGTAGATTCGGAATACTACAAGTCGCTTTTGTGGATAAAGGAGAATGATCCATCCGATTTAGATCTGACATTTTCGGTTGATGAAGAGTCTTTCGGACACACGTCGGTACATGAACTGATTGAAGGGGGGGCTGACATTCCTTTGGACAATTCCAATAAGGATAAGTATATAGCGTGAGTAAGATTTAGAATGTTACTATTTTATTGATTATAGGTTGAAGATTTCATGTGGACCATTTTTTTTTGTCGTCTTCTCTGTGTAGATATAATTAGTGTCAGTTGTCATACGTATTCGATGTTTGTATTGTCCATTCTAGAACCTTTTTATTTTGTTGAAATAACTCCATGCAAAATCAACATTAATGACAAATATACAAAGTAGCCAACTCAGAAAATACACATGTTCCAAAAGAATTCCTTATTCAGTATGGTCCATTGAGAAAAATTTTGTAAAGCAAATCATGAGCCCTTTTCATTTATAACTCTATGAACTTTCTTATGTGACGGAGGCCTAAATATCACATCAATCGACAATGATTGCGGCCCCAGAACTGATCCCTGAGGAGCACCTAGCTCAAAATCTAGTATTAATGTCACCTCATTAAAATTGTAGTCAGAAAGTACATCAATGGGAAAATATTCAACAATAATTTGTTTTTATTATCAATCCCAATACCATACATAAGTTTGAAAAAGCTAATATGAAGTATAACTAATCAAACTAAAGCTATAACCGTTAAATGTTACATTTACTGTAACCAGTGTATTCATGATCCATATATTAATTAATTTCAGGTGCATAATAAAATGGAGATTTGTAGACAGGATACAAGATCAAATGAACGCCTTTCTGGAGGGTTTCAGAGATCTGGTACCTCTGAACATCGTTAAAATTTTTGACGAACACGAATTGGAACTGCTCATGTGTGGTATCCAACACATTGACGTGAAAGATTGGAAACAGAACACTCTATACAAAGGAGATTATCATTCAAACCATATTGTGATACAGTGGTTCTGGAGAGTAAGTTCACTGAGGTGTTCCAAAAGGGTCCATCTTGGGGCCATTTCTCTTCTTCATATATTGACACAGATGATTTTTTTTTTCAGGTGGTTTTATCATTTAGTAATGAAATGAGAGCTCGACTCTTACAGTTCGTGACTGGCACTTCAAGAGTACCTATGAACGGTTTTAAAGAATTATATGGTAGCAACGGGCCGCAGCTATTCACCATTGAAAAGTGGGGAACCACCGATAATTTTCCCAGGGCCCATACTTGGTAAGGAATGATTTTTTAACAAGTCTCTGAGAATTGTTAGGGAATAATCAATTTTTGTTTCAGCTTCAATCGTTTGGATTTGCCCCCTTACGAAAGCTATACTCATTTGAAAGACAAGCTAGTGAAAGCCATTGAGGGTTCTCAGGGCTTTGCCGGCGTCGATTAGTACACAGTTTACCAGAGATTTGCATTTTTCTTGAAGGATTGGATTATGGTGGGCTGGCGAGAGAATGGTTAAAATATATATATAAAATTAGAGACAAGTCATATTTTAAAAACAAGAAACTAGAAAACAAGAAGAATTATTGATGACAATTTCTTGAAATATATTCACTACATTTTCTTTTGAATGAATTTAATGAATCACAGCTTTTTTATATGACTTGGCAAATTATTAAATGCAATCAGACGTGAACTATACAACGAATCACAACCTATATGTTCTCTGTTGATATAAAAATTTCCTATTCTATTTCTAGTGGAGTGTGTATGAATACTACTTGTGTTGTAGGTTAACTAATCACTCAGATAATTTGGCAACATATTGTGTTTAATTTTAAATATAAATATTGGCATATTTAAAATTTCAGACGTTGCTGAATCGAAAATAACTCGAAAACTGTCAGTCTCTCTTCTTTTCAGAACTAATAATTTCTTTTGATAAGACCTGCGTATATTCAATATGCCTAAAGCATTGTCGAAATAGTCTCAACAAATACTAAAAGTAAGTTAATAGTAAGTAAGGATAATAGCAATTAAACATCAACAGTACAAAAAAATATGAAAGTTCGAAATAGTGCACGTGTTGGCAACGCCGTAACTTGTCATTTCGTGACGTCATTCTCTTCTTAACGTGAACAACCTATAGTATCGTTTTGTTTTTCTGAGAACAATTTCAGTATGAAAACAGCAAATGAGATATAAATGGCAGCCCTACCAACAAGGTCCGTGTGCCGTGCATAGAATTATCTAAGGTTTCGCGATATTAATACTGTACCGTGTCATTGTCGTCAAATCATAGAACATTTCTAAATGTCAAATGTATAGAAATGACACGTTGGACTAGATATTAGAAAGAGAGCATAGACCCACAAACTAAATTCCTTGAGTGGCTTATATACCGGTAACGTTTTCAATTTCTGACGAAAATATGAATGGATACTGAACAAATTGTAGATATTTTAAAGAATAATAGTTTACCTACATTTTTTTGGTTATTTGGGTACTGCATGCTGAATTTGCTCTGTTTTGTTTCAAGGTCAGTTTGTGATTAGCTGTGTGTGTGCATGCGTATGTGTGTGAATGCGTGTGTATGTGTGATAATTTTGCGAGTGGATTTGATAAAATCAAAAGCAGGGAAAACTCATGGATGAAGCAGTCATATATTTATATTCTTCTGATTCGGGTTTGTTGAGGAATGTATTCCAATTGTAGAAAAACAACTGATTTTTCGGCAGCTGCTGCAAGTATGCCAACTCAATGTATAATGATCAGAGGATGAATAGATTTATTTCACGTCAAAGGTTCGACTTTTATCTATCAAGAAGTTACTTTATTTTTTCAAAGGAGAAAAAATAATGGTATTTTTAGGAACGTTAGCAGGTGCCTAAACACTTCCATTATTTAAATTTCTTTTTATGCTCATAGAAATAGCCATGATGACGTATTTTGTTCTTCACAGTTCTTCTCTCTCTAAAGTAGTCATTTGCCATTTACTATACATGCAATATGAAAGTGACGTAACGGCCAGTCCATAGAGAAAACATTTAGGTCGATAAGCCAGTCCATCTTTTCACTTGTACGTCTTTGGTCAAGTTGAATGTGATGTGACTTCTTATTTTCTGTGATAACTTTTTTGAATACGTTAGGTTAGGCTAGTAATTCCCTCTCAAATTTTCTACTGTCACTGCCAAACAATCGCACAGTTTGATCGATACAGTTATAACATTACCAAAAAATATGGAATCTCTCAACCCAGAAGAAGTTCTGAAATTTCTTGACCTCGTTACTAACCTTAAACATTTCAGCAGGAGAGGATGGGCTGTGTGTGAAATAAAAAACCATGAACAAATAGCTGGACACATGTATGCCATGGGAATAATGACGTTTTTATTAGGAGATGATTCTAAGCTGGATCGATTCAAGTGCTTGCAACTGGCGCTAGTTCACGACCTAGCAGAGTGCATCGTAGGCGATATCACACCCCATGACAACATTTCCGAAGATACAAAACATGCCATGGAAGATGAAGCGATGAAAGAATTGACCACTCATGTGGGATCGAAAATTGGTTCTCTGATTTATAACCTGTACAAGGAGTATGAGGCAAAGGAAACACCAGAAGCTAAATTCGTCAAGGATCTAGACAGATTTGACCTGTTATTTACAGCGGCGCATTACGAGAAGCGAGATGACACTCCAAAGAAGTTGCAGGAGTTTTTTGATTCTACAGAGGGTAAATTTCAGCATCCTTTTATACAGGAGTTAGTCAAGACGCTGGAACAAAGAAGGTCCAGTCATATGGTGAATAATTCATTGATTTCCAAAGATTCAGCCTAAGCCCAAGTTTTATATTTATTTCATGTCTGTGTTGGTTGATAATAATTTATTTTTGCAAACCCTGCTCTTTTAAAGTATTATTTCATGAATAATATGATCATTATTTTATTGTAATAGAAATTTATTTTTTGTTATTGGAATAAAAGTTTTTTTTCAGCATATATGTTTTATTTGTGACCCTAGTTTCCCTTAATGTGCATTAGACAATAAAGTTACTTGCCTCATCTATTTCTTCTAATTCATATTAATTAGGTCACCTTGAAATAATCGTAAAATGTTTATTCAACAAATTATTACCATACATTCAAGGATATTACATCATCACATTATGCTTCTCTGCAGTGTTTTTCAAAGTTTCATCTGTTGAAAAATACATGGTTTTCGAAATTTTGCTAAGCAAATGACTTGAGTGTATACTAGTTTCTTATTTTAAATTATTAAACACGAAAACATTTTCTTGAAAGTACAATTTTGAAAATTATGGGTAGACACACATTTTGGTCGATTGAGTTTGGTGTACGATGGATCGTGTTGAGATTATTTCAAGAAAAAATAATGTGAGCTTGAAAAACTTAATTTTAAAACTCAAAATCTATAATTTACATCAAATAGGAGCACTGATTTATTTTAATTTTAATGAGTTGAACAGGTCTAGTGCATTTAATCATATATACTGAGTGCAAAGTTGAAATGTGTGCAAATCCACAATTTTTGAAATTTTGCTAAGCAAATGACTCAAGTGTATAATAATTTTATAAAATCCGGGGACCATTGAAAATTATCTTCCGATTATTTCCAGAAAAAGGGAACAATAGTGAGTTTCAAAATCCAAATTTTAGAATTCATATGGAATATGAGCACCGATTCATGTACAATTTAATTTGTTAAATAGGTACACTGCACTCAATTGCTTTAAAATTCTGTAAACGCTGCTTAGCTTGAAATTGATTCATCATTTTTATGCATTGAGTGAAATAATCATTATCATTATTTCTAATAAAAACTGATTTTACAGGGGAGCTATTCATTTTCAATTCATGTTTATTACATTTATGCTGAACCTATTTTGAAATTCATAAGAATGTTCATTGTTTTCACTATGTCGGGTGTACACTAGGAAGGGGTAATCACTTGCAAACAACAAAACTAAACATATTTATTTGCATAATAAAAAATAAATAAAGTTTGAGTCCTACCAACTATAGCATTGTTATCAAAACCCTGGGTCCCAGTTTGTTTTCTGTGTAACCGTTTTCATTTCGAAGCATACGATCGTGTCACCTGCTTCGAAGTCGAGTTCCTTCTCAGAAAACTGCAGACCGCATTCTGTCTCATTTTTAATGATATCTACTTCATTTTTCACGTGTCTCATGGAAGACAATGTACCTGCAATCAACGATATTTCTTTTGATTCTATTCATGAGTTAACCTAAAGACCTCTAGTACTCTGCCGGATATAATTCAATATCCAGCGTGGTATGGGCCGGGGAAGTAGTTGTTTTCCGGCAGGCATTTACCAGAACCTACTGTGTGGGTATGTTGGGAGAGAGGAATGTTTTGAGATTTTATTTTCTCATAAGTATGTATCTCATTTTTTTTCAGTAATATCATTTGATGAATGAGAAGACAGTGCTAGGAATCGCACGTTAAAACGTAGAACCTCGATAATCCTTAGCTCACACAAGTTTAGACCTTTGAGGATTGTCGTTTGTAGGGAGACAACAGTTTCGTTAACCGAAAAACATATTTCAAACAGATTTTTTTTAAACAGTAGAGATACATTGGAAGCAGAATATTTTTAGGAGAGATTACTTTTGGAAAAGAATGGTTTTGATTTTCTACAGTTCCATTTTTTTACAGAGTATGTGGAAAACTATCTGTAAATTAGGAATTTCTTGCATTCTCCAAACCATTCCATATTTCTTCAAAAAACCATGAACAAATCATACTCACATACACAAAATTATGAATAACTTATTTTTCAATCCAACAATAAAACTAATTCCATGTCATTGAATTGAATGTCTTTGACGTGTCATACTGGATTTTTTCTGTTTGGAAGATGTTCATTCAGATAAATAATGAATCAATAGTAATGAAAAAAATTGGGTAAATCATATTGAATGACTTACAAAATTAATATTTGTTTTTGTTAAAAAAAAACTCCAACTCTTTCATCGTATAATTTGAACTTACCTGTGTAAATGACTTCACCCTTTCTCATGATTCTGTAATGAGCTGTCCTTTTCAATAAACCTTTTGTACATCTACACCCAGCCACAAAAGCCTTCTTTCTTCCCGAGTTGATTTCGAATTTTTGCAATACCGTCGCCTCGCCAAGTATTTCTTCTTCTTGCTTTTGTGGCAGTCTAGAATTGATTTCTTCTTTAATGTCATCTATCAGTTTGTAAATGATGTTGTGATGCTTGAGGGATACATTTTCAGCAGCTTCTCTCAACTGGGGTGGCAGTTCAACATTAAATGCATAAATAATACCTGAAGAAATTTGGAAATATAAATTACTAGTACTATGTTGCTGTATCGCTGCTGTTCCAATGTTTTGACAGAATCAGAATCAAAGAACTTAGGCGTGCGCAGCGTTATAGAACAGTGCTTTCAAAAAATTGTTCTACAGCACCATCTAGTGGCGAGTTACAGAAAAATTGATAGCCTAAAAACCTTCTCTATGAAAAATTACTTATACATCTCTCAAGTTTCATCACGATCGGTTGAGCGATGTAGAAGTTTGTCACTTACCAACCAACCCACAAACATCCATTTTTATATATTAGATTATTTATTCTGGAGGCTACATACAATTCTTTGCTTTTGAAAAACGAGCAATATTATTAGTAGGATCACCAGAGTAATTTGGAGTTACATAATGTTTAGTATCATTCTTTGAAACTGTAATTGTGTAGACCTAGTTCAGAGCTTGTTTCTGCAATTTTTAGAAATAATTGAGTCAATAATATCCACCTTTACAAGTATGGGGGCCAAGTGGTTCGACTTTCAAAATTTCTATTTTTATATTCAAAACAGGGAGTTAAATCACTCAGTGGGCATACAAGGTTCCTCAATAGGCCTTAGAATATTGCTTTTCTATAATACTGATCTGCACACAACAAACTTATGATACAAGTTCATAATCAAAATTATATATTAAACAAATGTAACGTCAAATAAAAATACCTTTAAAAGTTTCTGCTAATTCTATATCCGTTTCTGTTATCGAACCAACGCCATAGTGAACAAGCTCCATTTTGCAGTCTGCTGATTCATAAGTGTCTACAGCATCTAATATCGCCTCTAGAGTGCCGTCCACATCGGCTTTCAGGATTATGTTCAACGTGGGCACACCATCATCATCTGCAACAGCAAATCAACAATTACTTTCTGCACCCAACAAATGCCAAGTCAAACATAAATCACCTGAAGAAATCTCCGGTTTCCTTGGACCTGCCTCTCTCAACTTGTACTTTCCCATTTTTCTCTTCGTGAGTAGTTTTTCCCGATACTCCCTTTCGTGTTGTTCTTCCTTTTGAGCTATGGCTTCTGAGTCTTTTTGCAATTTCTCTTGTAGTTGATCATTTTCTCTGAACCTCAGGACTTCACGAGCTCTTTTTTCAGATTCCACTTGAAGCACCTGCTCCCCAGCAGACGGTAATTCTCGCCAGCCTTCTATTTCTGCTGGATAGCCTGGACCGACTTGTTCCAGAAATTTGCCCTCGGCATCTTTGAGAGCTCTGACCTTGGCTAAGGCTGTTCCTGCGACCAGTATGTCACCTTTCTTTAAGGTTCCTGCAAAAGATATATACAATAATTCATCGAATACTTAATGTAGCAAAGATGTCTATTTCTGAATGATATTGATTCACAAGTATTGGTATTCTATTCATCAGAGTGTGGAAGGTATAATTAATGTGACACAGCACTTCATTTATAGTTTTTTTCATAAAAAAAACCCACACCAAATTCTCCTAAAAGCTCAGAAACGATTATTGTTTATTTGTTGCCAGAGAAATTTGTGAAGAATGCTGAAATTCAAGATGGGATTAAACAAATCAAAACTCATGAATGACGAGTTCCAAGAAATAATAATCTGATAGCATTTTCTTATGTTTAAGTAATGTAGGTAACTGATAAATACATTGGAAAAACCACCCAGAAAAATGATTTTGATATTATTTTTAATGTAATTGGACAAATAGCTGTGAGTTCAATCAACTGAAAATATATTATGAGTAGGACTCAAACCAAGTTCTTTATCAGAGTAATTTTTAGATAACCAAGTTTCAGATATCAGAATCAGATTAGAACAAATAGGTACCTGTATATTTAAGATTTGAAATCACATCAAAAATATTTCGATAATAATCCTTCAACTCATTATTGTACATACAACTAGGCTTATAACTATTATTATTACTATAGATTTTTCTGATATCTGCTCTACTTTTTATGGTGTTGTTTTAACTAGGACCTTTTCACGAAATGTGTATTTCTAACTCTATTTTATAAAGTTCTAATGTTCCAAATCATATACACAAGCCTTGGTTGTTATATAACCATGGTTGTTATAGCCATGGAACTTAATTCGTTTCCATTTTTGGTGATTCAATAAAAAATGTAATTTTGTGTCACCTCTTTGTACCACAACGGTACACAATTTTCCCCTATGGCGGTGTACTTTACTTTCCACCACTACTGCCTCAACAGGGCCATTTGGATCTCCTCCAACCTCCAACAAATCAGCTTGCAGCACCAGAGCCTCGACTAGTTGGTCCAGATTTTGTTTTTTCAACGCTGATATGGGAATGGCTTGGACATCTCCCCCAAGATTCTCCACTTGAATGCCTACATCTACAAGCATTTTTTCTGTTCTCGCTATGTCTGCTTTCGGAGAGTCAATTTTGTTGATGGCAACCAAAATTGGAACTGCAATATATAATGGTCAACATAAACTACTTACAAACTGATATATGATAAAGAATAACTGCAGTACTTTGAAAATTTTGTAGCTTACTTTGAAATTTGTGAAATATTTATCAATTAGAAGATATTTTTCAATTTAGTGTAAATAAATCTTTGATAGTCTTTGAAAAGTTTTGTAATTTTTTTTCCATAGTTTGAGAAAAACAGTTTTTTCATTGCGAACAAATACTCAATATCTCACCTCTTGCTTGCCGAGCCATTCGAATTGACTCCACAGTTTGCTCCATTACCCCGTCATCAGCAGCAACAACTAAAACTACGATATCAGTCAAATGTGCTCCCCTAGACCTCATGGCACTGAACGCTGCATGCCCGGGCGTGTCTAAAAAAGTAATGCAAGCTCCGGAATTAAGAACCACTGAGAAAGCGCCTATATGTTGGGTGATTCCTCCAAACTCTGAATCAACTACCCTGGCATTCCTTAAAGCGTCAAGCAAAGTAGTTTTTCCATGATCAATGTGCCCCATAACAGTAACGACTGGAGGTCGAGGTTTCAGCTCAGCTTTGGAAGGTGGTGGACGAGGAAAGGCATCCCTTTTTATTTCTTCTTCGAAATTATCTTCTGGTTTGGAAATTATTCTCATTCGTTTCCCGCTTCTGTGTATCGCTTGCTGAAGCACTTTTATGTCGGTAATGGGAATGTGAGGATTTTGATATTGATTCAAAAATATGTCATAAATGTACTTTATGTCCTTGTTGTACACTTTTGCTAGTTCTCCTAACGTTATGCCTCTCCATATATCTATGATTTCACCTTTGGCTTTTGGGGGATACTCTATAATTCTAGTAGATTTCTACGGAAAAAAAAATTTAATTGAAATATTCAAATTATCTTTTGTGAATTTACTCGCTCCTCAGCTGTTTTTCTTCTCTTCAAATCACAGGAACTTATATGGAAACTATTAGCCTCACACATAGAAAGGGACTTGATTTTGTTTCTAGATCTTTTATATACAGAGTTGAATATCCTAAAAAAATTCATGAAATGTATCGTTTTCTAGTACAAAATTTGTAATCTCACCTACGACTGCCTATATTTCCGACTTTTCGAAAATTATTGACATTGTTATTTAATAAACTTTGAAATACTACATTTCTCAGGTATGTCGCCATTTCAAAAATACTGATTTTTTTATAACTTTTAGATTCTGGGAATAGTTTTCATATTATTAAGAAGAGCTTTGAATTTAATTTGTAGTCTTCATAAATGATAAATCTATTTTAGACAACATAACCATTATAACCTATAACCTAAAACTTATTATAAACTAAAATATTCTTTTTTTTGTATTTAGATGCGTTCGGGTTTCTAGCTATAGGCATCTTAGTTCGGACCTTAGACAAGTTGTCCAAGGTTTGGATGAAGAAACGGATAGAGTTGCGCTGCGTGCAGCGTATATACGTTATTTAAATTGCTTTTATTTTATATAGCAGCAGCATTCAGCAACTACCATCTATCACATTCAGCAGTGAAGCAGTTTTAAGTTTCATCTGCTAAAAGCACAATTTGACTTTTTTTATTTTATTCGGCGGTATAATATTCAGCAGCAAAGCAGTTTCAAAGCTGAATAAGTTTAGTCAGCAATATTTAATGCACATTTATAGTGAACCAATGATAAAGTGGTTTCAAATGAGAGAATTACCCGCAAAACGCGCATTAGTCATTGATGAAAGCAATCCCTTCAACTGCTATAATTTTCAAAATGCTGTAAGTTGGACTTTTTAGACAAAAATCCCGAGTACTGCGAAATGATTTTGTTGGTATTGAACATCTTGAAACAAAATATTTCAAAACATTGAGCATTTAAACTATGGACTGAAATGTATTTAAAATTTCATCTCATTTTACTAGATATCATATTTGAGTAATACTATTAAATTGAAAATATGCTTTATTGTCTACCAACCATTCACGTTTGTATAAATATAACAGTAAAATTATATTCATATCCATATATCAGTGGTTCATATCTTCTTGAGAAACAATTCGAAACCGAGTACAAGCATAGATTTTTGTCTAAAGTCAATATTTTGTGGAAGAATCTAGATATTATAAACAATAATTATGTGTTTTTGATATCACACAATCTAAAAGCAGGTTCTTTCTCCAGATCAAATTACCGTGTAGGACACGGGGCAGATGGGCGAATATATATCAGCAACACTCCGACACGTCTATTGCCGGTAAACACTGAAGGAGAATCCTTAAGGCGCTCTAAGAGCGGTTCCTGTGCGAAAGTAGCGATTTACGTTGGATTTTATTCGCTGGAAATTAAATTCACTTGGAAAAACGTTCTCAGGAAGTGTATTCCACATAAACACCGTTCTCATGTTATGAAAACAATTATGCACTTGCAAAAAGAACTAATCTTTCCCTTGAAAAACTATTTCCCTTCAAATGGGATTTTGACACCAAAACCAAAATAATTCTTCACAACTCTCGTACCCTTTCACACATTAACTATGCTAAGATATGTATAGGTTTTGCTTATTACAAGAAGAATGTGCAAGGCTGCAAAAATATGCAAAATCAATGCATAAATTTCTAACGATGGTTTTCCCTCAAGCAAACATCACCCTGTACATAACAGAACTGAAAATTTTGAAATTGGATGATAGGTGATTTGTCCACTATGCCTCTGTCCTAAACAAAATCTTGACTACTAGACTGCTCTATTGCCTTGCTTTAGAAATAGTTTGAAGGAAAGACATTTGCGACAAATCACTGAGGATTCACTATTACTGTCTGTTGTTCTCCAATTTCAAGGCATCTCTCTACTTGCTAGCTTATTAGCTAAATAATATGCCTCACAAATATTTTAATTTATTAGCTCCCTATCTGAAGAAAAATCTTGAACAGGCTATCCAGAATGATTCGCTGAATGTAATACATTTTCTACAACTTTAATCATGTTTGTTCTACATATGATTTGAATTGTTTTTTGGGCTTGGTTGGTATAATTTCAAATGTACTCAGTTACTTTGTATATTATGACAATAAATGTGGTATTATTTTCGATTTTCAGGTGGCCATAGCCAGATATTATGAAAATGACGGAGATGATGTTGAATTAGTTGAAGATGTACCTCCACAAAACGTTGCCACAGAACCACCTAGCCTGCCTGTTAAAACATCAAAACCTAAATCAAAGCCCTCAAACTTTGCCACAATTAATACAATTACTAGTTCTAGTGATGAAGAAGAAGAAGGTCAGGCCTACTATGCAGGAGGTTCAGAACATAGTGGACAACAAGTACTGGGGCCTCCAAAGAAAAAAGATATTGTAGCTGATATGTTCAAATCTGTCCAAGAGTGAGTTGGATTTGATTCAAATTTGAATATGCCTCTTCAGATAGTTCATCTATTTCAATATAGAAGTAAATTTGTTCAGCTGGTGATAGTAAAAATGTTTAATTAGGCTTATATTTTGTCTGTTGTTGAAACTTGGCGTTACCATGTAATCTCGGAGATACGGCCACTCAAAAGTGGAAAAATCAACTATTTCAAAACTAACTTTTGGTAATGAAAATTCATAAATTGACATCTTCCTTTCAGAATTGCATGCTGCCTACTTTTATTCACTTGCCACAGTCACTTTTCTACATACAAAGCTTTCAATTTCCATTAAATTGAACCTTTTCCAACATACTACATCATATTTATTTTCCATGAAACTAAATTATACTTCTACAAGGGCCTTTTTATTTGGTTCTGTTGGCAGTGTAGCACAAAAAGGTTAAGGCTTTCGCGGCCGAGGTTTTCAATGTCATTATTTTTATTCAGGTTTGAAAGCAGTCAATTTTTGGAATTTTTGTCTGACGTTTCGCTGGCGCGCATTGCTAGCTTCTTCAGAGGTTCATACATCTTGAGTTTATCTCCGATGACTGTGTATTCCGACTGTGTAAAGCATATTTATGTTGATTCAGGATGTTTGGTGCTAGTGTACTGACATGAATAAGGTAAATATTTGTTGACCTTCTTCTACCTGCTGTCATGATGTTTGTTATTCTTGAACGTCTTAGAATGGGATTCTCTAATCGGTTGAGGTTCATGGCTTCTTCTTTTCTATTAAAATTATACGTGTTTGTGGATCTCTATTACCTCCCATACCAGTTGGCTATGGTATCTCTGGTTGGGGGGCAATGAGTTTTGTGTTTTCAAACAGAATTCTGTGGTTTCCTTCACTGAATCCGTGTTCCTCACTCAGTGGCGGAAATTCTGCAATGGACTCTCTCTGCAGAACTACATATACAGGAAAAGGGGTTTTGGCCTCATTTAACTCAATAGGAATATTTGTATATAACCGAAAAAATTACTATTTTGTATAAAAAAAAACGTATTATTTTTAAGATAGTTTTAGGAGAATAGGCTAAAAAAAATTGTGTTATTCCATATACTTTTAGATATGTAATAAAGGCTTATAAACGGTGATATCGAATCTAACAATATAATCTTTTTCCAGACTTTCACTTCTGAATGTATTGTCAAAAAATAACTTGATAGTATGTATAATAGTAATAATCGTTGGAAATGATGGCATTCAGCAACCTGATTTTTGAGTTTAGAGAACCTTTTTTCAATTGCAGTTGAGGTAATATTCAACTATCCGCAATGATCAATATATGGCCTAGAATGTCAAAATACGTCATATTGATGTCACCTACTAAAGGAAAAAGATTCACATTACTTGAGAATTAGGCCCCAGGACGTAAACTCAAAAAGTAATTCCTATTTTGTCCCCTTCGAAGTAGTCGCCCTCAGATATAATACACGTGTGTCAGCGTCTTTTCAAATCCTCGAAGCAGTACTGATTTTCATTTTTTGGAATGTCCTTGAGCTCTTTCAGCGATTCAATTTTTATCTCCTCAATCGTCATAAAATTCCGTCCTTTCATGGGTCTCTTCTGCCTTGGGAACAGGAAAAAGTCGCAAGGCGCCAAATCTGGTGAGTATGGTGGCTGAAGCATGATTATGTTGTTTTGTCAAAAAAATATGAACAAGCAATGACAAGTGAGCAGGTGCATTATCGTGATGAATTGTTTTTCCATAATACTGGACGTTTTCTTCATATTGCTTCTTGCAAGCGATGCATAACTTCCAGATAATACTCCTTATTGACCTTATGACCATGTGACAAAAACTCCTTATGCACTAAACCACGGTAATCAAAGAAAACTGTCAGCAAAACCTTGGCATTTGATCGAATTTAGCGTCCTCTTTTTTTGTCTTGGCTGTCCTGGGCTTTTCCATTGAGACAATCGGACTTTGGTTTTGATGTCATAACCATATACTCATGATTTGTCACCAGTTATGGCCCTTTTAGGCAAATCTGGATCGCCGTTGACGTCATTTAATAATTCCTGGGCGATGCTCATGCGACGGTTTCTTTGATCAATATTCGGCAATTTTGGAACAAACTTCGCTGTCACACGCTTCATGTACAAAGCTTCAGCCAACCAATATGTCAAGATATTCTGCAACTTCTCTAATAGTGATTCGATGATTCTCCATAACAATTTTCTCTACTTTCTCAACATTTTCATCGGTTGTTGATGTACCTTATTTTTTGAACAGTTCACGTACATACATATTTTAAGGAATATCTTCATGATCTTTTCTATGCAAAATATTTTCACAGTAGTTTATATTTTTAATGTTTGTGCAATATATGCAAAGAAGTTTGTATTCCAGTCGTGATAAACTCAATCCTTACTCTTCACATTATTATATTAAAGGTACATTTGTCAATGGAAGACCACCGAATGGAGGAATATAAACCTACCCAGAGAAACAAATCGGTGAAGGCTTTCCAAGGACACGGTTACACTTTGGGTAGCCCAGCACCTCCAATTGTGGGAACTTGTAAAGAGGAAGACAAACCAACAAATGAAGCAAAAGCAAAGGATCAAATGAAAGTTGATTCTTCAAAACCAACCACCAAGTAAGTAAAACTTCATTTGTGTTGATATTGACATTTGATTATTACTTTAAGTATAATAGAAGCAACAAAACTTGTACATGCGTCATCAATATCTGACGCTATAAAACATAAACTTTAAATCAGCATTCTTCTACTAGTGATGAATGAAGAGAGATAGCTATACAAATGGAGTCAAAGTCTAAATTTGTCAATTTTATGATGGATTACAATATCGGTTGACGGTTCAATATTGTTTATTGTAAAGTTTTTACAGTTTGAATTCTTCTATGCTACAAAAATAGTTGTTTTCACAACTAATACTTTCTGAATTTCACGGTAAATGAGTTTTATATTGTAATTATTGATTTTAATTTCAAATTGTGTGTGTGTGTGTGTCAAAATGTTGTGGAAATAATCCTTGTGTTCATTATTGATCCTCACAAGGATTATTTCTACAGTGTCGCATTTGCCATCTTCTGGTGATGTCTGGAGTTTAGAACTAGACTGATTCACTCAACTCTGCTTCGTAATTTATAGGGGCCCAATTACTCGTACTGTCCCGCCTACTTCTGTCATCATTCCTGAATTATCAAGTGCTAAGTTTTGCTTTTGGGGTTGTGAGGTCTGTTTGATTTTGTGAAGTGATAAGATGGATCTCCACGTTGCTGGTAAATTTGCGGGATGACGCGCACGACTCAGGTCATGAACGCCTATGTTATTATAATTAAACTTTAAAATATTGTTACGTTTTCCCCGTGAGTTTGACAATAAATGACCACACAATTGAACTCAACTTTGTTTCGCTGCTATACTGACAATGCTACATAACTGAACTTTCAACTAGACCTGCCCCATTTGCCTGTTGGTAGTGTTTATATATCGTAATGGAAGTCTTTTGAAGCAACGCGATTGAGAGACGCAAGTCGAGTTTGGCGCAACCTCAGTCAAGTCACAGTTGATTAACGAAGACCAGCGGTGACCAGCGACATTTTCTTTCAAAGGATAATTTAAAACAATATTGATAGATTAATTCATGAAGTATAGATAGATTTTATTGAATTAACACTAAATCATAACATTTAATAAATGAAAGCAATGTTTCATTCAGGCTTAGGTTGTTTGGAGTAGAAACTATGCCATTGCGTTTTTATTTCTTCGTCAACTAATTATGAATGCGAAAATTGATGATGCATGTGTAAAGATCCATTTTCCTTACTGTTCTTATTAGATATATGTTTTTCAGCTTGCAGATCCGATTAGCTGATGGATCAAGACTTGTAGGCCAGTTCAATCATGAACACACCATAGGAGAGGTTAGGTCTTTCATCCAAATTGCCCGACCGCAATACCAGAATCAGTCGTTCAACTTGCTTTCGACTTATCCATCGAAGGTGCTGGATGACTGCATAACTCTCAAAGCGGCGGGTTTACTGAATGCAGCTATTATGCAAAAATTAGTTTGATTGAATAGTTCTTCTGGTATTTCCTAGATTTAAGGCTTGTGTTAATTAAATTTAGTTGACTTATTTAATGATCATATTTTTAAAGGGTTGAATAAAATATTTGTGAGACTTATATTTGTTTTTATGTCAGTGATTTATAGATTCAAGTTCTTGTCTCTATTTTAGCCTCAGTTATTGTCTTAGAAAATTTCAAGACTGGTTAATTTATACATCATAATTTCAATCCTAAGAAATGAGACTAGTGATGTGTGATTTACATATCATTAGTTGTGTGATGTGCATGTCACCAGTCGTAAAGTAATCCAGCCATTTTTGAACCATTTCAACAAAGTGGCTCTTGTACTCATTTCAAATAATCAAAAATTCTACTACCATGAACATTACATTGTGTTCCAAATACCATCATCTGTCAATAATAATCAACGGTATAGAAAATAATTTCTACTGCTAAAGGCGTTACACTAACGGCTGATCTGAATAATGGAATGTTGAACATGGGGTTTTCCTTTCCCTGTCGAGATGAGTGGACGTGTATCGGCTATTCTCATCGCCGTGGGGACGGAAGCTCGAGACGCCATAGCATGTGCAAGCAAACAATTTATGAAATTAAGTAACATTCATAAGGAGAGCAGTATATTGTGTAAAGTAAGACTTCTGCACCCCCAGGACAAAGTTAAACATAGGTTATGTTTGTTTTAGGTTTTTTGTGTTTTGAGTTATTTTGATGTATATGAAACTCCAGTTCGCTATCACTAGGTATGAGTAAAGAACTTATCAAGGCTCTTATCAAAGCAGTTGAGTAATGAACATGTTCAAAAGTACTTTTGTGATTGCTGTCTACAGTACTTTCGATCCCAAGAAAAACTACAGAAACATACTGAGGATTGTCAGAGAATCAATGAAACAACTGTCAAGATGCCTGAAGAGGGTAAAAATATTCTCAAGTTCAAAAAACATAAAAATAAAATAAAGTCCATAAGGAATGTCATAGAATTCCTGAAGCTATATTACTTTATTCTATACTAGCTTTTACCCGCGGCTTCGTTCGCTTTTACGCCAATAAATAAGTGTCAGTACAATAGGAATGAATCAATATGAGAACTATATTTAAAAAGTATTCTATGTTACTTCTAATACCTCCAAGAATATGTGTACAAAATTTCATGATGATCGGTTGAGTAGTTTTCGCGTGAAACCGTAACAAACAAATTTACATTAGCATTTATAATATTAGTAAGGAAGTAGGGATTACTACAAAATACCCACTTAATTTTCCATAAAATTTGTTTGTAGCTGAAAAAGTAAATGCGCCACTGGAATCAATGAAGTCGCCTCGGAGCGCCAATTAATTTTTATTGTTGTTTTTATTTTATTTTTATCGTTGTTTTAATAGAAAAGTTTATATCTATTATTCACGTGTTAGACAATGTATGAAATATCAAATGCTGACAAATCACGTGACGTGACGGGCACTTATGGGTGCACAGTAGTCCTAAAAAATAAAACTGAGACATCAATATCAAAGGTACTTGAGTGACACTACTGGTTTTAGTTAAACTGTGACGGTGCTTGGATGTTGTCTCTAGACGCTTTTGTGACACTTTTGACAGTTTTTCCATTTGACAGGAAGATAACCTATTATTTTTGAGATTTTTAATTATATTGTTTATTAATTGTTATATTTCAATATTTCTTTTTGTATCGTACTCATTTTGACTATATAACAATCACTGTGTAACCAACACTTACAAATATGAAGGATCCCAAGAAGCAATCCAATGCTGAAATTAAAGAACCCCAAGTTGAAGTGCTTCCCATTCGACAAATAACTCAAACAGATAAGTTGAATAAACGCTTGCTGGAGTCATTTTTGACTAGAATTAACCGAGAGTCGTCTAACGGATTGAATCAGACGCCTTCACAACACGAGAATGAAAGGAACGAATTCAACTAGATTTTTGTCACTGTAACATATCCTAACCTAAAATTAAATAAAACGCGGGAAGATTTCACATTTATGGGTCGTGTTTTACTTGTATCATTTTTTTTGAAGTTGATAAAAATTTTTGAAGATGTCTTCTGGAGATGAATCAGTTGATATTCCAGATGAAATAGACTTGATTGAAGAAGTTGAGGGAGAGGTGGACAACCCCATTGAAACCATCGAAGAACCTACTGAAGAAGAAGCTACTCCGAATACTGCGAACAAAGATTCCGATGATGACGAGGATAGTTCTAAAAAAGTTGTCAAACCAAAAAGAGTCATAAGAAATCCTCAACCGAAACTAAATGAACAAACTCTGAGAACTTCAAAGGGTCTTCCGGCTCTCACAAACCATTTCAAACGTGTGAAATTCAAAGGTCGAGGTCATGAAGCCGAAGATTTGAATGTTCTCATGAAGACCTATGAGTATTGGTGTCATCGTTTGTTTCCAAAGTTCCCATTTGATGCCTGCATTGCAAGATTGGAGACGCTTGGTACCAAGAGGGGCACTCAGGTTGGTATTGTGAATTGTTTAATTTTCTACAAATTCAATGTGGCGGTACTATGTCATTAAATNTAGTTACAACACAAGCTCAAAAGTAAAGTTATTGATAATAAAAATATCATCATCATGCAATTAAAATACAAAACATTAAAATTTTGTTGAAAATCTTATTGTTTCAGAGCTTGGATGTGTGGGTTCATTCCTAATATATACAGGTGATTTGTTATTGATTTTTATATGTAATGTAATGATGAAGTGGACCATTTGAGGTCGATTTTTTTAAACCTTTATATTGAACTGTTCCTCTTTCACTACAAAAAATGTCAAAACAAATATAACAGATATTTTGTGAATGATGGAGATTTACCTGTTAATACTGTAAAAGTATTTTATTGTTTTATATTAACATGCTTGAAGAAACTGCCATATTGTTCCTAATTTACATATTTTTCATTTCGTAGGTACTTATGAAAAAAATTAGATTGGGCATGGAAATAGCAGATGACGATAATAAAATGGTGAGCGATGAAGAACATGAAGGAGAAGCAGTTGCTACAGAAGGTTTTAGAGATACCTTTGATAACCGGTTTGATCAACTTTTAACAGGTAACAGGGAAAGCGAACGAACTAGTGAACCAGATACAACTGAAGAACAACTGGAGAGAATCCGACAGAACAGATTACGTGCCGAGGCATTAAGAAAACAAAGATTAGAGAAAACCAAGTCAATGTCTCAAAATGAAACGAACATGAATAATTCATGTGCTGGGAATGTAGTTAGTTCTGCAGATAATATTTTAAATATTGTAAATGAGGACATTGAATCTGAAAAACCAGAGGAGACTGAAATCAGCTCAATTAGTAGATCACGAGTACTTTCATCTGACGAAGAAGAAATTGCCCATAGCGAAAAATTAGAAGATGATGACACTGAAAATGGTGGCAGTATTCGTAGAAAAAAAATCCTCACCATCGAAAGTGATGATGAACCCGACACAAATGTGGAAGAGAATCATATAGATACTATTACAAAAAATTACAGTCAAGGTGAAACACAAACCGATGAAATGGAAGCAGATGGTGAAGAAGTGGATTTGGACAATATTTTGAATATAGTAAATGAAGAAACTGAAACTTCTCTGAAAAAAATGCATACAAATTTGAGTCATAATGAAACAAATCAAAGGCTGGAGCAAACTCAAGCCCAAACTGATGAAATGGAAGAGGTTGACTTTGATAATATATTGAGTATAGTTAATGAGGACACTGGAATTCCAACATCAAAAAGTCCACATCAAAATAGACCAGCGTCTGCAGATAACAATCAAGGTGGGATGATCAGAACTGACAATTATGAAGAAGAAAATAGTAATAAAAGCTCTCGAAAGAAAAGCATCCAAGGAATTGAAAGTGATGAAGAAATGGATACAAATTAGTTTCCTCAAAAACATCCCTCTGCAGAAGATAGTGAGATAATTTAAGTTAGGTAATGTTACACTGGGAAAAATAAAATTTTAATGTTGATTTAAGTATTATTCAAACCTTTACTGAAGTAAATAAAGAAATATAGGGTATTGAAAATCATCTAAAAATAACACAATAAAACCTTTCTTCTACTTATAATTGACAAAGGAGAGTGTGGAAAGGTTTTTGATATAGAAAAATTAGGTTAGGTTAGATCCAAAGTGAGGGTCTATTCGTCTCTTCACCTCAACCCGCAAGGGTTTTTTGTGGCTCGCACCTATTCACACTCGACCAAATAAACGCAACTTTTTAATGAAGCTGATTAGTTTGTATGGTGAGTGGTCTTTCACATCAGATGGTAAGGGTACGCCTCTGCTGAACTCTGAAAACCTGATTCGGTCCCCAGCGGGGCAAGCACAAAGTATGTCCTCTGCTTTCATCATTTTCCAAACAGAGGCGACACTCACTGTCTTCCGACAGTCCGAGTCTCTGCATATGATGATTCATATGCAGAGACTTCAAATAATTTTTACTTCAAATAATTGTTTGATGTGCTGTGTAGGAGCTGCCATAGTCAGTGTTGAATGTTCTTAATTCTCCAAAGGAGAGGGTGATATATCGAGTGAAACCAAAAAACAGGAGGCGATCAAAGTGCTTCAGCTATGAAAAACTTTTGTGGCATATCAGAATAGCCAAACAGCGGGTTTTTGCGTAATTTGTAGTTTATAGGAATATATCAGTGTTTCGTGACATGTATCTATGTTGTAAATAGATTTTGCAGTTCCCATTTTCATCATTTTCCAAACAGAGGCGACACACACTGTCTTCCGACAGTCCGAGTCTCTGCATATGATGATTCAAATGACAGTGACCTGTAAGAAGGCTTGTTAGACATCGTAGTTCATCTCTACTGTAGTTCAACAACTGTTTGGTATTAAGCTTCGAAGGGTGAATAAACGCCTTGGAGTGAGCCAAGCCTTGAAGATTCTGTCAGAAGTCCATAAATCTTTTTGCCATCCAGGTGTTCAATCCTTGTTTGGCAAAGCTTAAAGCGATGCCAATGACAGGTTCTGATCCGATGAAGCTGCTTGCAGCACCCTCCTTTGCAAGGGAGCCTCATTGCCTTCCAGGCCAGTATGGCCTGAAAGGAAAATTAACTAACCTCCAGAGAATGTTGTTTTGTGCTCAAGTTGAATATTTTTCCACAACAAAAAAGTGTCCCTGCACCTGGGGCTCTTACTAGTTGAATTTTAACTAATTGAAAGTAATCTTTAGTTTTTGGGGAAAAAATCAAGTTTTTTCTTCACACTTTGATACCCTTTAGCATACACTGAAACAAATTCTCTAAATGGTTTTTCTACTCTGAAGTTGATCTCAAAAATGTGGTTTTGGACGGTTTCATCACCTAATGAAAAGCTTCTTTAGGTATGAGAATCTACTGTCTGGCGATAAATCAGGAGCATACAGACAATGAATTATTATTTTTACTTCAAATAATTGTTTGATGTGCTGTGTGGGAGCTGCCGTAGTCAGTGTTGAATGTTCTTAATTCTCCAAAGGAGAGGGTGATATATCGAGTGAAACCAAAAAAACAGGAGGCGATCAAAGTGCTTCAGCTATGAACAACTTTTGTGGCATATCACAATAGCCAAACAGCGCGTTTTTGCGTAATTTGTAGTTCATAGGAATATATCAATGTTTCGTGACATGTATCTATGTTGTGAATAGATTTTGCAGTTCCCAAATTGAATTTTTTGAAAATTTTCAACAGTAACTACATGATTCACACTAACCCTTTTTTAAATGTCAAATTTCAATTTATTTATTTATTCATTCAAAGACCTTTTCGGATACAGAAATAGTTACAATACAAGCTCAAAAGTAAAGTTATTGATAATAAAAATATCATCATCATGCAATTAAAATACAAAACATTAAAATTTTGTTGAAAATCTTATTGTTTCAGAGCTTGGATGTGTGGGTTCATTCCTAATATATACAGGTGATTTGTTATTGATTTTTATATGTAATGTAATGATGAAGTGGACCATTTGAGGTCGAGAATATGTGAATGATGACGCTTACCCTCGACGCCCTAGAACATCAAAAACCAACGAAAATGTTGAGAAAATGAAAAAAATTGTTAAGGAGAATCGTCGAATCACCATTAGAGAAGATGCTGTGAATGTCGACATATCGGTTGGCTACGCCATGCAATTTTTTCGGAAATTTTGGACATGAAGCGTATGGTAGCTAAATTCGTTCCAAAATTGCTGAACGGCGATCCAGATTTGTTCAAATAGATCATAACTGGTGCTGAATCATAGGCATATGGAACCAAGACCAAAAAAAGCCCAAGTTCGATGAAATGTCAAAGTTTTGCTCGATTACCATGGCGTAGTGCCACATGGTCCTATAGCCAATTAGAAGTATCATCTTGAAGTTATGCGACGCTTGCGAGAAACAATATAATGGCTTTTGTATAACGATAATGCACCTGCTCACTCATTATCACTTTTTCGTAATCTTTTGGCCAAAAACAACACCGTAATCATGCTTCAGCCACCGTATTCACCAGATTTGCCCCCCTGCGACTTTTTTCTGTTCCCAAGATTGAAGAGACAGCGTTTTGCGATGATTGAGGAGATGAAAACCGAATCTCTGAGAGATCTCGAGGACATACCGTGCATATCGGAACTGCTTTGAGGATTGGAAAAATTGCTGGCAAGAGTGTATTATATCTGAGAGGGACTGCTTTGAAGGGAACAAACAAGAAATTGATGAATAAATAATTTTTTTTGAAAAAAATGAAAATCCACCTCATTTTCAGGTAGAGCATATATATTCTGCAGACAAGGGTTCAAAAAATATCCTACCCATCGACCACTGAAAACTGTAGACAATGTGGAGATGCAGTTTGACATGACTATCAAGTTAGGTTATGTTACAGCGGGAAAAAATGAAAACAACAATGTATATGTAGATATTCTTATTAAATAAATCACATCTCTTTACTACAGCTAATAATAAAATATGTACATGTATATTAATGATGAAAAGCATATGTAACGAGCCACATCACATCCAGAGATGCGTATAATGAGAGTATACATTCAATTCACAGATCTCCGAGTGAAGATATAAAAAAAGCAACAATTTTTTTTAATACAATAAGTACCTAAAAATGTTAATGTAGTACGGAACAAGTGAAGAGAACAATAAATAACAAAGGACACATTCAGAAATGTGAATATTGTTTTATATCAATTAGGGGAGATTTAAAGTGTCTCGAAATGAATTACTAGGAGACTTTTACCAGATGTTGATTCTAGCAGAGACTAAGTTCCGGATGAGACTGAAAAAAAAAGGTGGCAGGATCCATACTAACCATATCAGTATTCACTTGATTTACTATAAATTTGAGAAACGATAATTGTTTGTAACATAATTTTTTTTCAACTCCTTTATTTTAATTTTGATCTGCAATTGCACAATTTTGATTTGTGTTTTCCTCTGAACTTCGTATCTCTCATAATATACAGGATAGCCTTACAAAAAAATAAACAAGACATATTAGGTCTCATGTTCATATGTCAAAAAATAATTTTTTTCTCAACTTTTTTTGATATTTCACCTGTGGGAGTATTCAGTTTGAAAAAATGTTACCACAAAGAGATGCGGATAGTGTAACTGGGCAAAAACTCAATTCACGCCGTGCTATTATACCATTAAATAAGTAAGGTTATTATATAGTGGCTTACGAATTCATTCAATTTATCAGTTTCATTAAGCATCTAGTATAGTTTTAAAAAGTGCCTGGACATTTAACTTGTCTGAACAATTGTAAAAACAATCTTGTGACTTACATTTGCAGTGAAAAGTGAGTTTAAATAGGTTTCCTAACGATGTTTTAGTTAATCAAAAATGGATTGATTATATGGTCATTTTGGTGATTTAATTCCAAGTTCGACTGTTAGAACATGTTCTGTTCACCTTTAAACAAGTGACTTTTAGATAAATTTAATGGTACGGCTCCTACATATGAAGCCCTGCTGAAAGCTTTCTATCTGAATAAACTGTTGAAAACATATTGCGAACATTTCCCTTTACCAGTTTTCCTACTTTTATTCCCTCCAATGATGTCACAAATATGGCCTCCAAAATTTTTTGCCATTTCATAACCTGGTTGTGAAGAACAATACTGTTGATGATTTCTTCATCTTCAAAAAGATTCCAAACATTTACCAAAGAATGGTTTACAAAATTACATGTTTGATGAAAGTAATACTTGTATCGTATTTTGAAATGTGCCTTTTCTAAATCATCATAAAATTCTAGAAATGTCATATTACTATGGTAGTAAAATTTTGCATTTCACCGACTTCTTATAATTCACCAGAGAATTATAGTATAACAAGATATAATTTCGGTGAACTGTTTGATGAAGAAAAGTATTCCTATACTACCTCAGTATATTATGAGAGACTTACGCAAAACTTCATGACAAAGGTCTGAAAAAATAGGTTTGAATCTACCGAAGAGTTTTAGTTGAACATGAAATATAATACAATTGAACAGGACAAAATACTTTATATCTGAAAAATCCTGCTTCCTGTAGATCTTAAGCAGACTCCCTAATTGTACCTAACCTGTTCGAGATTGCTAACACTGGAGTATTTTCATGACATACAAGTCACTTGACAAATATTACACCCACGTTTCATCTACTTCCCTATACGATCCAACATCCAATGAAGCGATCGGTTCGCAAAAAACAACAGTATATTTTCGATACATCAGATAAATTTCACATACTAATATCTCCGTAACAAAAACACCCTAAATCAATTATAAAATTGATCCCGAGGATATCTACTAAAGAGCATTCGGAATTTCCGGTATCAAAGAAGCGAAGAAGGTCGAGAAAAAAGTCCACACGAGTGTGAACCGTGAAGGAGCTTGCTCCTCCTCCTGGACTTGCTCGGGGGGGCCGTTGTTGTTGTTATTATTATTGTTGTTTATGTTCCTAAAGAAACCGATCTGGTATAAGTACAAACTGATGCCCAGTATTAAAACGAAAAGGAACCGCAGCGGACTGGAGTAAAAGTAAACCACACTGAATAGAACCATCAATCTGCTCAGCAGGTAGAAAATGTCTAACCAGTCCCTTTCCGCATTTTCAGGATCTCGGACTGCAGCAGGGGGCGCTTCTGGTACTGCAGGGGGTTGTTCCGCTTGATTGGGGGGTATCTGGCCAGGAATGTCGCCGTTGATCGGTATTTGCTGAGGATTCGCAGCAAAAGAGTTTGCAGCACTGAAAAAATCAATCAATATTCAGAATAAATATTTTCTCATAGACTACAAGTTTTAAAACATGCAATATGCAGTAGCTTTCACAAAAGATGAAAATGAAGGAGCTATCCAACTACAATTTTTTTCTTTGTTGAATTGCTAAATATCAATTTAAGAAAAACTTGAATATTTCTGGGAAGTGTTTTATTTTCAGGTTAACAATTTTATGATTAATATGACTCTTTTGAATTTTCCTTTTTCTATCAACAGTTATCAAATCAACTGAACAATCTGGCACTCTTCATTAGCTAATATGTTATAATTATTTATTTGTTAATTTCGCTGAAACGATAAGCCCATACATTAATTTCTAAGTACCCTTTACAAAATCTTCGACAGATGTAAAAACTCATTGTTCTTTTTATCAATTTCTTTATAACAATGGATAAAAAAATATCCTCAGTGGTATTTCAAAATCTATTGTTGTTTTTATCAACTTGTTTAAAAAATGACTGATAAATTTTACTGTTGTAATATAAACATTTGTTCCAAATTAATTCTCAGAGGATACAAGAGAGATTCATAGGTAAAAAATATGTTTCCTAAAGGTAAAAAAGAGTATTTGCTTAGAGAAGAAAATGCTGTACAAAACTGGCATAAACCAGCTGCTGAAATAACAAGTTTCTTCTGATAGCTTATCTAAAGCACATAAAACTTGTTATATTATCAGTTTTTGCCGTTGTTATCATTGGCTAAACAAATGAAATATGCTTGAATAAACTTCAATTACCAACAAGAATAATGAACGTGCAACATTTGGTCAGACATTTTTATGCCTTTACCTAGATTTATGTGAAAATTTAATCAATTGCTTTTATTTAAATTACAAATGAAAAACAGTGACCTCTAAGGGGTTAAACTTCATCTACATATTACCATTTACAAACATTATTCATAGATTGGCAGAAAGCTATTCATGGACAAAAACAAATTGTGAATATTATCAATAATTTTGGTTATTGACCGCAGAAGTCGATGACATAAAAACTTTAGACATTGTGGTGACAAAATAATAATATTAACTTTATTATTAGGTGAAATTCTAATCATACATGCAAAATGGTATTCAAAATGCTAACAGTAGGAATATAAATTTGATGAATCACACTCCGCATACAGATAATACTAAAGAACGGGTCAAAAACTGCCCCATTTAACATGTTTTGCTTTATATCAAGGTAATTTTGAATATATTGGATGTAAATGTCATAATTGTCTCCAAGATATCAAGAAGTCTGCTAACTCTCACATCTTCGAGAGAAAACTGAATAATATATTTTTTGAAAAAACTGCTACGCCGTAAATGAGTTTTCGAAGTAGTTGTAGATGGGCCTTTTATCTAGTTTTAATTATGTATCTACACAAATGATATGTTTGTTTGGAGTTTGAGAGTCTTGCTTTGGTAACTATATTCATCTTTTTTCTTGCCCTAAACAATTCAGCCATATTTGCTGATAATGGTAACTATACAATCTATTTTAATTTTTGTGAATCAATCAGAAGATAAAGATATATTATTATTTGAATCTACAAATTTGTTGCTAAAGTTCCAATCTTTCAAAGGGTGTGTTATCATCATTAACCAATGACCACTCCCCACAAACATGGGATGAGTGATCATTGGGTCCGAGAATCGTGTGTCCTGAGAAGATGCAATGAGCCAAGAATGATATCTTTCTGCATTTTATCGGCGAAGATTGCTGCCATAATGCAGAAAGCCGGTATGATACTGAGAGTAGAGTAAATATTAATTTATCAAAGATTCTGAACAACCATTATAACAGAGTGATCTGGATAGCTTAGAGTTCAAAGCGAAGATATGTTTGTTCTCCTCTTTTCACATAATATTCGCCTCACTGGGAAGTTAAAATTCCATAAAGAATGTTGTCTTATTTTGATGAATCTGATGTGAGGAACCACTTACATCAGGTCTATCTACAACTACCGTAGACTGAGGTGTGAAGACTATATTCTGACAAGCCACGATGAATATTCCAGTTTCCGATTTATTATTATTACCATTATAAGTTTATGAATTCATTGTTTTCTACTGCTTCTCAATTTAAAATACTCACAGTTGCATATACTGTGTCATGTACTGAAAGTATGCCTGCTGCATCCAGGCTAGTTGTAGGGCATACTGGTTGGGATCCATGGGGGTCATCGGAGGGTTATTCATGTTGAACCAGGCCATGTTGGGAGGAACATTGGGTATATTTTGGTCTGCTGTAACCGTGGGCGTGGTTTCTTGACTCTGTGAAGGTGTATTCGTCTGTTGGTTGGTATTATTTGGTGTACTAGCTTGAGATACTGGCGGTTGGTCTTGGATGTCCTTCGTATATTTCGAGGAACACACAAGGTGAACAGTGTGAGTTTCTTGTCCTTCAAACTGCCGAAGGACATCTTTCAGAGTTACTGAATCACTCAGTAGTTGACCGGAGTATATTAGTTTCTGTTCGTGTTTCGGCTGAAAAAGAAATGGTAAAATATTAATATTTATTGACCAAACATCAGTAAAATGAGTTGAAGCAATCCATGTATAAAATAAAAAACAAGTATAAAATATCTAAACATCACAACATTGAATAGATAAAAGTGAGCGGTCCAAAAAAATCACTATAAAAGACATAAACAGCTATAAAAGACATGAACAGCTATAAAAGACATAAACAGTGGACGCAAGACGGTGAGAGAGTAAACAATGTCAAAAAAGACTATTTTAACTAGATATGGGTGAAGTGAATTGAAAATCTATCAGGGTTTTTTGGTTTTACAATAAAAAAATTAGTGCTTTGAATGATATTCAACCAAACTACTGAATTTTCTTGTTTGAGATCCTTATAAGTTGCATAGAATCATAAGAAAAACTGATGCTATACCTTTTGGTGCCTCTAGTCAAGATAACTCAATCAATTTGAATGCCACAACACACTTGACAATTATTTTATAAATACTTTGATAGACACCAACAAAAACTTTCTTTAAATCAAGAAAACTAGCCAATGATGTTTACTAGTACTTTTACTGTTGTCTAATCCATAGTTTGACTTACATTAGACACGTTCAGCAACATATTCAAACACCATTTGTCTTCATGGTTGTAAATATAGTACTTCATAGAGTAATCGTTAGAAAACAGAATTTAATGTTGATGCCGTTACATAAATAGGAGAAATCACTGAAGTTAATAAAAATCACATCTACATGGCAAAATACTGAGTCTTTTAAGAAAAACTCACATTGTAGAGAGTCACATTGTCACAACTAAAAAGTTATGATATGTAGGTACATCCATTAAAAATCAATGATTGTACAACTTTTACTAACAAATTGTGACGTATGATTTAGGACCAATAATTGAATCCCTCCTTTAGTGTTTCCCTACAAATAACACTGCCTGGGAAGATATTTTACCAATGTCTAGGTCCAGGAAGATGCCGAACAATTATTTTTCCAAAAAAGAAAGACACTGTTTATATTATTGATAATGATATAACGAAAACATGTGTCATATTTTTTATTTCAATATTTTATTCCAGTCAACACATATTTGTGCCTGTGATTTTTTGGCAAAAAGGCAAATTGACACATGAATTGAGCATAGACATTTCTGGAATTGAGGCCAAGAAATTCATTTCCAAACACTGCATCATCTTCATTAAATGTATTTCAACTACACAAAAACAATGACTGAGTAAATATTTGAATGAGTATTTGTAAATTTCAGACATTTTCTAAATAGATTATGAAGCCATTGAAAGTTTGAAATGGAAAACCTACAACATACTGCAAAGAGTTGAGATTAATGCGGGCATACCTATCAATATTATCTATCTACTAGACTATTTATCAAAACTACGTAGTTTTAAATTGGGGACATTTCTCCTGCTCATTATGTCATTCCCTTCAATTTTCTATTTGAATTGTTTATTTCTTCTAGTACTTAAGTTCTTATTTTCTACAGTAACTCGTACTTACAGGCCTACTAGGATAAACCTCCGATAAGTGTTGTTTTAATTTTTGAATTGTCCATGATGGTTCGCACTTTATTGTCTGATCTTCAATTTGTTGATTGGGAGCTTTCACAATCAGGGTAACCAAAGAGTCCATTTTGTTAGCAGTTGATTTTAACTTCGTCACCAGTTGTTTGGAAAATACCTTGTGAATTTTCACATCAACACATCGACTGGTTTCTGGTTATTTCTGTTTTATTTCACCAATATTATTTCTGTCATTATCAATTATCAACAATCTACCATATTTGTCGCTTGTCTGTCGATCTCTCATTGGTCCGATTTGAACATTTCAGATATGACGTAATTTTTTCCATAGGCGTAACACGGACTTTGCTCTAATTATAAGTTGCTCTCTTAATTACTGGTATTCTTTTGCCAATGTTATAGAAAAGATACAGAAGATAAAATTTTTGTAGGAAATATGTTTCTTCTCAGTGGTTATAATCTGTAGGTATTAATATTCTTTCATGTATTACTTGGAGTAGCGTGTTCGTAAATGATCTCTTTCAATACCCTTCACGGAGTTTTGGCGTACAAGTTAATAAAGAACAAGCAATGTTTTCATACCTACTATGTTTTTTTCCGATATAACTCATAAATTTGACAGAAACAGCTGTGGATGACATAAATATTAGTTTTTAATTATATTAGTTAACCTTTCTATACTATTTTTTTTATATTCTGTATGTATTAATGAAGAAGTAAACAAGTCAAAAATATTTTTCTATAAAGTGCAAAGAAAACATTACTATTCACGAATTGTTAAACTTTAGTACTATAGAACTTCTTCTACTTATTAAGAGATGGCAGTACTTGAAGAATTGATCAATGATCAGTCGTCTATGTAAGCAGTTTAATTATTAGAGGAAAATATGTTTTGGGCAGGAATTTATGTTTTGTAATATGGTTCGTGTATTGTATATTCACAATACAAAAAAAGTAAATTGTATAACCAAACTTTATTCCAAAATGTAGGTACTTACATTTCATTTCCCCATGTCTTTTATAATTTGTGTACAAGTGTTTTACATAGTTTGAAACAAGAAGTTCTGTAGATTTCATTGCAAATTATTTTAGAATATTAGCCTCTGTGTGTTTAAGCGATGCAACAAGATCTTTGTGAATGTTCGACAATCATTATGACCACCAAATAAATTATTTTAAAAAAACCAATATTTGAACCTTATGAACACCACTGACTAATTTGTTTGATTGTTCACTGTTATCAGCTGATAAATATAGATATTCATTTTGAGATTTATCTAGAACATAGCTTTCAACATGTATTTTCATTCTTTTTTATTCTGTGGTCATTTTCATTTTGAATATTGATTATTTTATTCGTTTTATGGCATTTTTGCGTTTTATTGCTTAATTTGATTGATATTTCAGCTATTCATTCTATTTTCATTTGTTCTTCCATAAATTTCGAATCATAATAGACAATGGAAGTCCGAACTAATGAAATTCATCATGAAACATTGTCAACCACCTTCAAACAAAAATGTATAATGAAGGGGGGATAAAAAATAAGATACCAAGGAACCATCAATCTTGAAAGGCATCTTCTGGTTAAAACATGGCAATACTTAAGCGAGCTGTCGATTAACGAGGTCTTACCTTAACTTGCGATTCTTAGCACCAGCAACTTGATACAAAATGAATCCCAAAAATATATTTCAGGATTGTCAGTGTTTCTTAATCCAACCAATGAGAATGCAATATGACCATGTTTGTTGCTGGGGAAGTACGCCGGTAGACCAATGTGCCTACAAGAATGAGTAAAATAATCGATGTACAACAGGGAAGGAAGTTCCTTGAGTGACAGTTCAGATATCACACAGTTTCCTCAGGATATCCCAATTATATTTTCCATTTGACCTCAGTAATTTTTTCAAACAATCCTATAAATGTTCATAGTATATAGATACGCTCACAGAGCCTTTTCAGCTCCACAGGATCCTGTTTGCTGCCCGTAGGACCCTGTTTGCTGCCGGGGAAGTACATCGGTAGACCAACGTGCCTAGAAGAATGAGTGAAATAATCACTGTACAACAGAGAAGGAAGTTTCTTAACTGACCGTTCACATAGCACACGGTTTCCTCGGGATATCCCAATTACATTTTCCATTTGGCCTCAGGAATTTTTCCAAACAATCCCATAAATGTTCATAGCATAAAGATACGTTCACAGAGCCTTTTCAGCTCCGCAGGACCCTGTTTGCTGCTGGCAGGACCCTGTTTGCTGCCGGGGAAGTACAGCGGTAGACCAATGTGCCTAGAAGAATGAGTGAAATAATCACTTTACAACAGAGAAGGAAGTTTCTTACCTGACCGTTCACATAGCACACGGTTTCCTCAGGATATCCCAATTACATTTTTCATTTGGCCTCAGGAATTTTTCCAAACAATCCCATAAATGTTCATAGCATAAAGATACGTTCACAGAGCCTTTTCAGCTCCGCAGGACCCTGTTTGCTGCTGGCAGGACCCTGTTTGCTGCCGGGGAAGTACAGCGGTAGACCAATGTGCCTAGAAGAATGAGTGAAATAATCACTTTACAACAGAGAAGGAAGTTTCTCAACTGACCGTTCACATAGCACACAGTTTCCCATTTTCCAAATACATTTTCCATTTGACGTCAGACATTTTTCCAAACAATCCCATAAATGTTCATAGCATAAAGATACGTTCACAGAGCCTTTTCAGCTCCGCAGNAATAACTCTTAATTTTCTCAACATTATTTTGGTCAATTTAACAATTTCATTGAGCGTAAGCATCTGTGATTTTATATCTTTCTTGAATTGATGAATATTTTGATTCAAAAGGGATAAAATTTCACTCAGATAAGAAGGGGCTATATAAGAAAAACATCCTTGAAATTTGGAAGTAGGATGCCTAGGTATGTTGAATGAGTTAATTTTGAAATTGACCATATGTATGTCAGAATAACTGCTTATTAAACTATATAAATAACTATGTGTTTCAGTTTGAAGCAACTCAAACAAAAAAAAAAAAATTATCAAATATTGGACTCTGTACCTCACATTCAGCTCCTTCATTTTTAACAAAAATGGTGTGACATGTTCACCACATGGTATACAGTATACGAAATTTTATGACTGTTAATTTTCTGAGGTATTCCAAGAGATATATGGTGTTAGTTAGTTACAACAGTTCCGTCATTAATTACCGATTTTAATGTTATTATAATTATACTTTTACTATACACTCGAAAGCATCAAATACACATTTACACGCCAAAGAACCGTAAAAGTTACATTCGTTTTTAAGGATATTTGATAGTCATTTCTTCTATAATTAACTGAAATAAAAGAATTCGAAAGAAATCTCGTCACGCTTAAGTTGTACATGTGATTTGGCATCAAACAACTGGACCGCATCAACTGAAAGTCAATTTCAGGAACTTTTTTTATATTTATAAAGGGCCTCAATTTGTTCAACGAAGAAAAAACGTACTGTTTTACAGTCTTAATGATGTATATTCCCCAAACACTTTTTTGAAGTTTTAATGACTACGGAGGAAAAGCAAGACTTTCTCACGCGCTCGATATTTATGACTGATTAGAATGTCATGATCATCAGTCTTTTTCTAACAACACGAAAACTGTTCATTAGTTAGTCATTGAAGGTGTTACAATCGTAGAGCAAAAAAAAGATAATGTCAGCTTCGATGATGTCAGTTAGTTTACAGCACTGACCTCCCTGTAAATTTAGTTCAGGAGCGAATTTACAGAGGAGATGGATGCCGATTTTACGACTCGAACAGATTTCCCTGTAAATTTAGTTCAGGAGCGAGTCTACAGAGGAGATGGATGTCGAGTTTACGACTCCAACGAACCTCCCTATAAATTTAGTTCAGGAGCGAGTCTACAGAGGAGATGGATGTCGATTTCACGACTCCAACTGACCTCTTTGTAAATTTAGTTCAGGAGCGAGAGCTTCTCCACTCCCCAACTCCTGATCCAATAACTGAACCTAAAAAAAGGTTTGGTAGTGCAACCAGGAAATGAGCGAGTCATCTCCTCGAGAGCGGGGTACCTTATAAAACCGCCTTGCACCAAATTCTTCAGCGACGTACGCAGAATCTGCCTTAGGTGGGGAACAAACCCCCCATGAGCATGTTAGCAAACGTTTGCGCTCAAGTTATGATTCACCAAAACCAGTGGCGAAAAAGCCTTGCACAGTTGAATCTAAGGGATCGTCAGCTGTATCTGACGTGCAAAAACCCTCATATGGGAAGGTTGTCGCGAGTATCAAGGTGGGAATCTTGCACCTTGACAATCCGACTACCTCATTAACGATGAAACAGCAGATCATATACTTTGTGCCTGTTCCGCTGGGGACCGAATCATACTTTCAGAGTTCGACGGAGCCGTACTTTTACTATCTGACCTGAAAGACCACTCACCATACAAACTGATCGGCTTCGTTAAGAAGCTGGGTTTATTTGGTCGAATGTGAATATGTTAAGCCACAATAAACCCTTGCGGATTACGGTGGAGGGTCGAATAGAACCACTCACTTTGGACCTAACCTAACCTAGTTGACAGCAAGTAGAAAGCAAGTTTTTAAAAAATTCGAATCACACCTGAAGGTTTTCCTTAGATGATTTTTTATGGTTTAGAGAAGAGTAAGAACTTTTGGTAGTGGTTTCGTCGATGATGAATCTCATTTTACAAGGAAAAGATGCTTCAAAACTTTTTGAAGAGATTATTGAGACATTTCTCTTCGCTTTGCTGCCCATTTTCACAACAATTGAGGCTCCGCTCTCAATGTACTCGTGGTTGATTTTTTCCAGGCGACCTTGATTGAAATTGGTCTGTTAGCTTTGTTGGCAACTGTAGTTATTATGCTGTCAATTTGCTAAATGATGGTTGGAAGCTCTCGATGGCTGAATTAGAGATTTTCATCATGATGCCTTTAAATGAATTTAGGATGTTAATTGTGCTGATCTTGTTAAATGTTTACACCAAGTACCTAAGTTAGATATAAGAGTTTCAGGGGAGACAAAAAATGTTCTGAAAAATTGATTTGCTGTTGTATAGTTTATTTTTAATTGTTATTTTGTTATAGCGTTCCTATTCGGCCACTTAGAACAAATTACGTATTTCCATATACCTTTTAGGAGAACTAATTCGTCTCAAAATTATCCTTCATGTAGAATTGTTCGCAACACTAACAGTTACAATGATCAAATTGATATTTTCTTTAAATCCCATCAAAAATTAAAGATCATATTGAAACATCTCACGTAGTTTTGCTTAAATTAGTTAATGCCGACGACCAATGAACTATTTTGTGTCTTTGTTACTTTATATATTGCTTTCGTTTCAATTGATGGTTTGAAAATATTATTTAATTTTAAGTCAATGTTAAATTGTTGCTTTAATGTTAGGATCATAATGTTAGCATCAACTCATTATGTATTATGTACTTATGTATTATTTTATAGTTTTATATGTACAACTGAGGAGATATACCTATTTTGTAATAATATAGATACTCTAGTGGACCTGGTGTCTGTTTGTATCTCTCATGACCATTAAATACATAAAAAATTATCAAAATTAGCATTATCGAAGCCGTAGCATAAGGTTGAACACAGTTCAACCTTATCCTGTGGAATCTTTGAAAAGTATGACGCGAATAAATCGTTGCTGAAAGTCAACCTTTGAAAAACTCACTGAAAGTAAAAAAATATTGTCCTGAAAAAATATTACCAAAATAATAATGGAATATTCATTTGTAATGGTCAATTAACCTCGTATGACTGTTCATACGTTAAATAAAAATGCATACACAAAGGTGTATCAGATTGTAGATTATCAAATCATATTTACCAATGTTATGAATTATAATTATTTTTCCGCTCTTCGAATATGTAATTATTTCGCACTCTATGGAAGTAACTTTCAAAACAATATAATTATCATTGTTATTCGCAGTGGCAGCCCGAAGGATCACTTTGTACTGGTATTCTTTAATTTAATATTACGATCGAAGATACTTTATGGAAAGGGCACTTTAATTTTATTTATGAAACCAAATGACGGCAACAGCTACTTTTTTTGTACCTTGGGAGCTGTCTGACTTGTCCATTTAGTCCAAGTCTCCAGAAAAGACTGCAGCCTCTTGGGCTTATTGCGTTTATTCTCCCATCTTCTCATGACACCCATTCCATCAGTCTCGTTCCCTGTACTAGTTTGTACAGGTTCCGTGTTGGATGTTCGTCATATTCTTCTGGACATAATTTCGTACGTCCATATATTGCCTGCCTCCTGTCCGAGACCCTCCGTTTTAGTCCTCTATGGTCGATTTCTATGGGCTTATGTTAAGCCCTTCTTCTTCGGTCCATCTTGTTATAATATTCAGGGCCTGCTGCATGCATCTTCACTACATCTTCACTTCACACCAAATGACGGCAACAGCTACTTTAAAAGGGACTTGAGTGTAAAGTCTACAGGCCATATTAGACCATATAGACATGAACGAGATTATTAGGATTTCGCAAACAGAAAAGCGAGAAGAGTGGAAGTATGTTTATATTTTACATATTATAGACTCTTGTTGTTTTTTTAAACATAGCATACATAATAGTTAAATCAGTATTTTTGGATAAGTGAGCTATTTTATTAATAATATCTAAGTATACAATTAAATATAACATCATAAAAAAGTGAAAATTCAATTCGTGTTTTATTTTTCGCAGTAATTGGCAAGCGGAAACTAAGTGGTTTTACCTATTTAGGAATATATTATCTAGGTATATAAAAGTGGGGAACATTTATTTCGGTCAAAATTAACAAATAATAAACATAAGTTGAAACATGAAGATTTGTGAAAAAAAGAGGCGCTTCATAGGTTTCGCATACAGGCGCTGACATACGATAGAAGGTCGACTGTTGATCTTTGTTTCCATATTGATAATCGCCCAAAAATGAAAATTGAAAAAGCACTTCCTGTCCCCCCATATAAATAAAATTGTAGAGGCACTTCCCAATTTGGCACCCGCAAGCACACCACTGGCTAACATTGTTACATTTTTAATAAACAATGCTCGAATAAAAAATCATTCTGCTCAAGCGAAAAATAATTTGGAAACAGGATTTGAGTAACGCGTACTTTCTATTACGGAATATAAGAAGTGCTACCATAGCGTGCGGACTGAAGTTACTCATCATCGACACCGAGTGCAGAATTTCTTTCTGCAAAAAGTAGGTTAGGAGAAAGTTAACTTTTTACTATCGACGCTACCGCCAATTCAGTCAGGCTTCGGCTTTGGTGTGTGGTGTGTTCAATCGATTCCCGACTACTGTAAGTGTTTACTTTTATCGAATTTTGTGTTGTGCATGGCCTACAGGGTGTCCCAAAGAGTTTTCGATAACTAATTTCCACGGAATGAATGTTCGAAGACAACATCTTTATGACCTCCAATTATATTTGCCGTTGAAATAATTTATATGACCCTGAGAGAAAAAAAATCGAAGATCTCAGATCGGGAGAACGAGGTGCTCAATACTGGCTTTCAAGAGGTACACTGTAACTGAATTTCCACTAGATTTTTGTACGCCAAACAGAAACCTAGCGGGTTTCACAGGAACCTAGTGGGTTTCTGTGTGAAATATGACTACCTCTTTTATGAAATGATACCTCATTCAAAATATACAGGGATTTACCTCCTAGTATGACGTTTTGATCGGACTTCAAATGAAACATTTTGTTCATTTTTCAATTTCCGTAGTCATCTTGCTGAGCTATTCCCAAAAATGTATGCCGGTTGCATGTTTTTGGTACAGGGTGGGAAACAGTGTAAAAATATGTTTCGAAAATGAGCGATTTTTCAACTTTTTTATGTCGGTGCACTCAGTTTCATCTGTTGAGCGTGTTTGGTTTGTTGTTGAAAGGCATAAACGTTGGAAGTGTTTCTCGTGTTCGGCGGTTTTCTGCTATCAAAAAATTGATATTTTTTTCAAGAATAGAACACAAGCACCACAGGAAAATCCTTAAGGCGCTCTAAGAGCGGTGCCTGTGCGAAAGTAGCCTGTGGAGATTAAATCAATTTGGAAAAACGTTCTCAGGAAGTTTATTCCACATACACGCAGTTCTCCAAATGAGACAGTTTTTAAGTAGTGAAATTCGAGGTGTCCTGAGTTGAACCTCAAAACGATGAGCAGTCACAGTCTATATATGTGCCAAGTCACTTGAGAGTGTCTATAAAAGAAATGAATAAAAACACTTTTGTCTAAATACCACTGGTAGATTTTATTTATACGACCGGTTTCGGGTCAAACCCTATAAAAAATTCACCTTCTATGTTTTAATATCTGTGTGAGGAACTAGTTATTCCCGAAGAATTTTTCCATTTTTATGTGAAGGGTTCACATTTTTATTGCCGTCATCGTCAAATCTCAAATCTAAAGAAATGAATTTAAACGTTCAAGCCAGTCTTAGATACACCTACACTATAGGTTGAATGGACCTATCAGAAAACAACTACTCCCGTGGCTAATACCACGAAGGGCGTTGGATTATATCCGACAGGCGTCAGTGCAGGAATCTTCACAGAAAACTTCCTGCATATGCAATTGGCAATATAACTGAAACAGTCGACCTTCAATTTTCGAACGGGCACAGTTGCAGACCGGTTTCGGGCTCATTAGCCACTCGTCAGTGCAAGATAGTGGCCATCATCGACCTAAGTCAATGATATTCCACAATTGAAAATCGGAATTCTTTCAGAGTATTTCATTCTTCTTCCTAAGTTGGAGCGAACAACAAAATGTTATTCCATCTAGTAGGCGGGACACTAACCAACTGCATATCCGAAATATCCTCTGAATAAAGAAGAAAAACTTTCTTATCAGTCAGTGGGCTATGCTTGAAGACAGGCAGTAAACAAATCTAAAGAAATGAACTTTAAACGTTCAAGCCAGTCTTAGATACACCTACACAATAGGTTCAATACTCATTCATAATGTACGAGGTCGGGCTATTAAATAACGAGACTGGACGAAAAAGGGTTTTATTATAAACATTTTTCTACATTCGAATGATCTCCTTCGATATACTCCCCTCGCCACACACCTTTCCATACGTTTTTTCCATTGATTGAAGCAGTGCTGGAAGTCTTCTTTGGTGATAGCCTTTAGGAGCTCTGCTTCCATCAACTCAAATCGGATCCCTTTCAAAGCAGGTTTTATCTTCGGAAACAAAAAAAGTCGCACGGTGCAAAATCTGGCGAGTACAGCGCGTTTTCGAGCCCTGGAGTGCGTTTATCGGCCAAATACCGCTTCACAAAGAGCGCGTAATGGGCAGGTGTGTTGTCCTGGTGCAAAATCCACGAGTTGTTCCTCCGCAACTCAGGCTGTTACTTACGAACTCATTCTCTCAGTGTTGCCAAAACTGACAAATAGTAAGTTTGCTTGATAGTCTGACCCTTTGGAACCCATTCAGTCATCACGATACCATTAATGTCAAAAAAAAACGAGCAACATTGCCTGGAATTTTGATTTGGACATCCTTGCTCTCTCGGCCCTCACTGAAGCGTTTACACCACTCAAAAACACGCGCATGAGATAGAAAATTGTCCCCGAAGGCCTCTCACAACAATTTATAGCACTCAGTTGGAGTTTCTTGCAAGCGTTGATGGGCAAATTGCGCCTAAAAGCTTGACCATCTTTATTATGTTGGTCGCTACCTTTTACCCAAATAAACTGTTAGGAAATGTTTTAATATATCATAATATATTAAAATTCTTGATTCTCATCCTGAATCAGATACATGCCAGTAAGTCTGCTGTGATAATATTTGTCGTGGCGTTTCCAGCTCTCGGAGAGCAAATAGAGAAAGAAAAGTGGATGAATTATCGCGATTTACTCTTCGACCACTCAGGCCATTATGCTAAAATGATTGTTATGAATATAAGGAGTCCTTGTTGCAATAATGCTCTCCCTATAATTCCGTACATCAATACCAAAACGGGAGAAATCTCTGCCGGACAAATGCAGACAGTTGTCATTCTTCGTTTGTTACACGTCCTCAGAGCACACGATTGTTGAACTAATGATCATTTATCCCCCGGTTTTGGGTAGTAGTTATTCATTTATGATGCTGGCAGGTCCTCCCAATGGGCCGTAGTAACTTTTCAGGTTAATATGAAAAATAGCCCCGATTGCCCGATTTTCAATCCTGAACTACAAATGAATATTGAAATTTCATTAGTTCAGACTTCCTTTGTCTAGTACTAGTATGATATAAATTGATTTGAAATCCCTAAAAAGAAATCTTTAAAAATTTAAAAGATTAGTTGAAAAAGAATAATTATATTGAGGAAAAAACTGAAAATACAATGAAATAAAATATAAGCAACAATAAAAAAATTGATCTATTAATACGAGATGAAAATTAAAAATTATTAACAAGAAATGAAAATAAAAAAATAAAAGATAACAAGCCAAGTTATTTCACGAAGTTTGAATTATTTGTTTTTTTTGCTTAATATAATTGTTCTTTTTCAGATAATCTTTTTAATTTTTATAGATTTCTTCAGGGATTACAAATCAATTTATATCATATTAGACAATGGAAGTCCGAACTAATGAAATTAATCGATGTCGACTTATATTTTAATTGTAGAGCTGAATCTCTTGATGTTTTTTGGTTCATGATTATATTGGAAGTGAAAAACTCACCTTGATTTATGTTTATTTCAAATGGATTCAGAAAAAAATCAAGAGACGATTTAAAATATTTCTAGTCTTGGAATCTATTTTGGAATTCCGTCAATATTTCTTCTAGCTTTATTATATACTCGTTGAGTTTTTCTTGTTTCATATTGGAACACATTTATTTTATTTGAAAAAATGACGAACTTACGCCACCGTGTAAAAGACATTCTGAAACACATACGGAACGATAATAATTTTTTTTATATAATACCACAAAAATGAAAAGGGAACTTGTGTACATTTATCGAGAGCCACAATAATCTTTCAAAGAGCAGCATGTGGCTCGCGAGCCACATTTTTCATTTCATTTCAAAAATCCCTTGAACATTGAAAATTTATTGCGCTGAAAAAGTCCGGTAATCTTCCAACCAGATAATTAGATAAGTCGAATTGAAGAGGTCAATTGAGAGATTAAAACCCAAAAGATAATACCAGTGTTACGATATCTGGATTTCCAAATTAACACACCGTTCCGTGTAATAAAGAAAAAACCAATAACGAAACGAACTAATTTTGAATCATCCAATTCAGCCGTTGGTCATATATTTCGTAACGCTTGCTTGAATTTCAATGTCAGTAGTTGTGGTGAAGCCAGCGGAGAAAGTGCAGAAGAAAGAAGAAAGTAAGATTCCAATCATTAACCTCGTTTGTCAACTTGTAATTTCATTGAACGACACAACGAATGTTACAAGAAAATAAGTGTGGCTTGGGAAAAACAGATAATCTGAACAAACGAAAATGTACCAAAGTTCTGGTTTTTATGAATCGGAAGTGAAAAAAAGACGGTGTTCTGTTTTACAAGATGATTGTTGAGAGTGGAAACATCTACAAGAACGTAGAAATATTAGAAAATTTCAGAATCAATAAATCACGTTTTTGCCATAATTTATCTCTCACAGTGGCGTACGGAAATTATACTAAAGAGATGAGGAAAAATGATGATAAAATATTTAGAATCACAAATCAATAACATTTTTGAGAATTTAGTGCCTACTATTCTGGAATTGTACTATAAGAGAGTTTGTGTAGTCGCTGTATGATTACGTGATTGACTCAAACATTCCAGTTTATTATACGATTTTCACCATAAAGGGTTTTACAAAAACCGCAACAAGTGTTTTGCTATATAATAGCTTCCTCAACAAGTTTATTCTCCGTTTATATTCAGCTTTGCTCCGTATAAAAAGAAGATGATGACGATTGCGACAGACCAATTGAATTTTGTGAAGTAATGTCGAATTTCATAAATGAAAACCAAAATATTTTCCGCAATAATCCCTTTAACGATGAGTGTTTGTTTTATCTTGATGGGCATGTTAACAAACAAAATTATCGCTACTGAAGCGATGAAAATCTACGACTTTTTGAGGACGGTTATACACTGTAATCAGAGAAAGAGAACATTTGAGCTGGTATTCTTGAGAATATGTACTTTTATTGTTCCTTCATTCTTTGAAATCTAACTGGTGAACTCTACTTGAATTTGCTCGA